ATATTGCAGAACGCGGTGTTAAACAACAAACAAACAAACAAAATCTCAAACCCTTCAGACAATTATTTATCAACGTAGATGCACCTGAATCAGAGAACGCCATAGTCCGGAGCTCCCTGGATACGAAGTTATCAGCTACACACCAGCGCCTATACTACACCAAACCAAGAAACACTTGAAGACATTTACCTCAAGATTGTTAATGTTTATGATCACAGTTTATTACCCACGTGGTGAAGATACAGGTGGTAAGATACTAAATCCGTACGTCACACGTGTGGCGTACAAGGTTGACCTTGTTTTATTCGTTTTGATTGGATAACCGTGACCTCTGTCACACCGGGACTACTTTTTTCATTCATAAAAAAGTCGCGAGACGTCATTCATTTTGCGATTACAAGGCATAACTGAAGAAATTCATGAGAACGAGAGATATTTACAAACACTTTATTAAACCAAACAAGATAGTCACACGCATCAAATTCGGTTTGCTTTCTATATAAGTTATGCACAGAGCTCCTACAGACATATAATCGAGCTAGATCTATAAATCGATTGACAATGTTCGACTGTCGATCGAGCGCGTCCCTTGAGCGTGACGCACCCGACAACTTTCAATTTAATTTAACGTAAAAGGATAAGCGTGGTGAAATGAAGTCTGTTTAAACTATCTGGACAGATATCGAGACTTACTTGGGATGATCCGGTTGTGCCATCGGTGTCCCCTTTGAAGCGTATATTTTGTGGCGCTGTTTCGGGAGGTGTTGTTCATGAATGAACGAACACGACAGCACGACCAGATCACTTAAAGTTCACAGTTCCGATACAAATCATTCGAAAACTCCGTGGAAGTGTGCCTGACTTTGTGGCCCCAAACATCCCAAATGTGAAAAATAACATTCCCTATCTCTAGCGTAAAACGCTGTGAGTGGATTGCGGTTGTCTTTTCTTATTCCGGTGGCGACCTTGCCCTTCGATCGTTCGAAGCTGTCACTGACATGCAAGCAGATTTGAGTTTGTTGATTTTCACGTCTTCAGTATATAGGGTGGTACAGTTAACATGAATGTCTTTGGCGAACAGTCTGATTTCCCTCTTCCAAAATGGTACGGACATGATATAAATTCAGCTGATAGATCAAGGAAACCGAACCATTTTGATTGCACAGACGGGACCCCGGCAGTGTGACCGACTGTTGGTCCGATATTCAAAGCGCGGCGCTAATGTGACATTTCAAATTTTCTGATCGGTGTCCTGCGTACTTACAACATGGCGCTTGAATTACCATAAGTTGAAGACTTTCTTCCAAAAGGATCTTGAGCGTCGGTGCTGGTTTGTTTGCAAACAGAACAGCAGGCGCATGTTGTGAATGCGTATGCATAAACATGTCAACAATGCCCATATTTGGTCATATATCAGTATTCATGCGCAACCAGATTTTGCAACCGGTTTCAGTTTGGTCTGTCAACGAACGAAAGTTGTTATGTATTTACACTTAAATATATATTTAACGTGGGTAATAAATAAAATACCACACTCATTCTCGTTCGATACCATTTTTACGAAACTCGTGAACTTTCTATGGTATCTGACCTCGCTTTCGCTCGGTCAGATACCATAGAAAGTCCACTCGTTTCGTAAAAATGGTATCAAACGAGAATGCGTGTAGTATTCTCTATGTACGACCTATCAAATACCGCTACCAGACTTATTCACTGTTAGGCTCATCGGTCAGGAGTCAATGTATGAATATAGTAACTAACATCCTATGCTTGTCGTAAGAGGCGACTAAATGGGTCGGGTGGTCAGGCTCGGTGACTTGGTTACCTGCATGTCAGTATATCTGATTTGCGTGGATCAATGCTCAGAATGTCATTCCATTATTTTTTGGTCCGGACCGCCGTCATATAGCTGGAATATTGCGAAAGCAGAGACAATTAGCAAAACAAACAATGTTATGCTCAATTGACAGAAAGACGATGTATCAAACTGACTATACTCATCAATGTATGTACATTATGTACATTAAGCAACCCTTGCTTGCTGTAAAGGGCGACTATATATGCTTGTCGTAAGCGGCGACTAACGGGATCGGGTGGTCAGGCTCGCTGACTTGTTGATGCATGTCATCGATCCCAATTGCGTGGAGCGATGCTCATGATATCAATCAATGGATTGTCTGGTCCAGACTCGATTATTTACAGACTGCCGTCATATAGCTGGAATATTGCTGAGTGCGGCGTTAAACAACAATCCAAACCAACAACATAATGCTGATTTTGAAAGAATCGTGGTTTCTGAATTGGGTTTTAATGTTATGCAAAAACATTACATGGTAGACTCAGTGTGATGTCAAACACAGCTATGCACGCTAAAAACGGGCGACGTTTGCTTAATTATTACGTTTTAAGACGAAAGAGGCGTGAAGGTGCTGCTGCTTACCACGTACATACAAAATGAAATGAATTTTATGTGTGTTGACACCTTTCTGAACGTCCGGAAAGTGTGGAGGCTAATTGCCGGTAAATATGTTGTAGGAATGACGCATCATTGCCAGTGGTCAAAGTTCACTGGCGATGAAAGAAAACTTCATTATCTGCACAAGGTTTAAGCTATAATATCACTCGAAAAAATAATGTTAGTGATTCATACGTTTCATTATCACTAAATGGTTTCACAATGTGCATAGTGTTGGCTTTGTTGTCATTGATCCGACGGGAACATTTTACGAGCGTTTCTACAAATATATACATATTCATATATTTTGAAAATTATTCTTCGACTCCATCGTGTGGTCGAACAATACATTCTGTTTTACATAAAAAGTACATGGTTGGTTTATGGATGTTTTTTGTTTCCTATATATTTGGCAAAATTATCCTTAAAGTACCACCAAACATTTCTTGATGAACTCGGGACAAGAAATCCGAAGCGATTTGTGAACTAGACATTTTCCAGTCCCGTCACAGTGTGAAGACAGACACCCCAAAAGAGATGCAGGTCATATAGACGTTGTCGACAGTGACTCCAACCAGCTGAGGTGCCGATAGACTAAAATTCCTCTTCGGGGCAAATCCGACTTCCGAACCAACGACCAGCTGATTCAGGCATGGTAAAGGAGCGCAGCTCAAATAATATACATATAGATAAATAGAGGTTATCACGCGAGTGTGTTTGGGGATGGTAAATATCCTGCATTAGGAATAAACATTGTATTTAGCGAGCCTTGGCGAGCTAAATACATAATGTTTATTCCTAATACAGGGCATTTACCATCCCCAAACACACAAGCGTGATAACCTCTTTATCATATAATGTCATTCTTTAATTCTGTGCTTGAAAATCGCTTTCCCTCTCTTTCCCTTTACCGAAACATTGCGAGTTTTCCTGGAATGCGCGCATTAATATTTATTACGTCACAGGGTAAGTGATGTGTCAGTCGGACAGTGACAGTAGCTAATATAGTTCCAACTGAAATCTGTTTCTTATAGAGTGGCGAAGCAACATATACGCAAAACAACAGTTGTTTTTAATTGCCTTTCGCGGCAATCCATCGGTCTGTCCGCTAGAGTAACTGCCCTTTGTCAAAGGGAAGCTACTCTAACCCTAGTCTATGAGGCGTCACGGCCACGGTCAGACGTTGTTGACAGTCGGTCTGCCCTGTTATAACGTTCAGAAGTGTAGTCAAATGTACACCCAGAGACAAAACGAAACAAGGTAACAATTCAAACATATTTCGGCCAAATCCAACTATTTTAATTTGTGGAGAAGGTTTCAAGCCGCAGAGGTCTACAAGTACAGATATATGGCTACTGGTCCCGCTTGGCTAGGCCTCGTGCCCTCGCAAAGAAATTTAGAAATTTATATTTCCAAAGTTGCCAAAACTTATAAAATGCCTTAGCTACGTCACAGTTAGATTCTGATTTTCAGCATATTAGAGTGTTCTGTTGATAATGATAGCCATTATCCCTGTAGTTTATCCAGATTCCCGATGGTTAATTCTGACTCGATCGCAGAATGACGAGGGCGACGTCATGTTTGTTTATAAACAGTGAAAGTAGTCCTACTTGATCTTTGATATTTGCATCTCTATCCGCATATGACCCCAACGGATATCGTTTTTATCCGTTGGCTTTATCCTGCCGAGAAACCTACCCATTATATGATAAAGAGCCAATATACGTGTAAAATGTACGTATTTGATCCCTGTAATTATTGTATTGATCAATATATATTTTGTGGACCCACAAAGAGAAATATCATTGCATTAACAATTCCAGATATCAATATCATTTATGATAACGAGAAATGTATTGTTGATATCCCAAACTAACTAACAATTTAAGCTGTTGATATAAATTAAGAAATTATATAACGAAATATTCACAGATATCGGGTAAATAAATGTTGTTTAACGCGGTTTCAGCTCTATTCCGGCAATAACACGGCGGCCTGAAACAAATCGAGTCTGGCAAGAAACCCAGTGACTGAAAGCATGAGCATCTGTTCATGCCAATTGGGCGCGGTGACACACTATCTATCAACCAAGTCACGATGCCTGACCTTTCGATTCCTGCTAGTCGACACGTATGACATGTATGGGCTACTGGGGATCAGGCCTACCCCAGATTGCCCATGTGCGTCACTGATATCACAAATTCAAATGACAACAACCACACGTCCGTAAAAATATACATATATTTGGTAAAACGACTTCTAACAAAGTTTCTTAGTATTCTTCGTGCGGTTTAGATATCGCATATTTTATGCCATCATCAATTCAAAATGCCAGATTCAAATGGAAATATATGAAACAATTATATAATCAGTTAAAAAGAAAATTAAATAAATGCCACTGATGTTAATGTGTCTTTTTATATAAATATTTTTGCCGCCAAACTGTTTTCAATGTTAATTGTTGTCACATGAGTAGTACATTGAGTCAGAGGTATGTCAACGACGCACCTGTACAAATTTTACTTTAGTAACAGTTGCCTCCCTTTAGTTAGAATATCCAAAACGAGAGTCTCCATTTATTTAAGGTGTTATACAGGTTACCTGTACGTTTGTCGGTGACCTGGAGGGACAATATATATATGGTTTAGATGGATTCTTTAACAACAGTGTACTGCCTTCTAGGCTTGTTTAGTGCAAGTAAGTGATTGTTTTGCGAAACTTGTGTTAGTTTGAATTATTGTCTCAGGTATTCATGATTTTACCTGCGAATGTTTACCTGTTTATAAATGACCAAAATGGCGGCCTGGTGAGTTTTATGATTCTCTTTTCAAACGCAAACGACAGATTGACACATTAGCTAGCGTTTGATTTCATTATGATGTCCAGATTACGAACGATACTTTAATGTGTTTGATTTTGTTAAGTCATATTCAATATTTAGTGTATGTTAACATTAATGGTACCCAAGCATGTAATATTCACCAGCAAATACTTCCGGTATTTCATTGAGTAGGTGAGTGTGAACGATCATAAGAGGAATACCCTCAGAATTGTGTGCATGAAATTTGAAAGTAACAATTCTCAATGACAGGTTAACAGTTGTTGACGTTTTGTTTAGGTGTAAATAATCGTGATTGCTCTATCATGTATGCATGTAAGCTATATATTTCCTCTCCTGAGCTATGAACATGGGCAGCGCTATAGACTATATCAATGTATATACATAGGTTAGTGAGCCAAAGCCACCGTATTCGACGTAATAAGCGCCCAGGGTGCTCTCAAAATTAGAAATAGGGGGCTCTTATTAGAATATTATTTTTGTGGAAATGAAAACAAGGTAAATTTCGTGGTTTATGCTGACAGACTGAAATGTTTATATACGACAGATATATTTTTCTAGAATTTAATTGCCCATAATTGAGGGTGCATATTACACACGAGTGCGTATTATACACGAATAAATAGGTCTTGTGTACATTGTTCAATCGGTAGGGGTGCTAATTGGGATTGTTCACTAGCCATTGTATTAGCAAATATCGCCGTGGGTGCTTTTTAGAGCGGGGCGCTTATTACATCGAATACGGTATGTCAGTGGGAGAGAGGGCCTAGCTGTATTGGCAGGATGGATACCAGACAGATTCGTAATCAACAAAAATTTGGTGCATTCATACTTTGTTTGGCTGACTCATACACAAATCTAGATGCCCTGTACACAAATCTAGATGCCCTGTACACACATCTAGATGCCCTGTACACATACCTAGATGCCCTGTACACAAATTTAGATGCCCTGTACACAAAACTAGATGCCCTGTACTCATACCTAGATGCCCTGTACACAGATCTAGATGCCCTGTACACAGATCTAGATGCCCCGTACACATACCTAGATGCCCTGTACACAAATCTAGATGCCCTGTACACATACCTAGATGCCCTGTACACAAATCTAGATGCCCTGTACACATGCCTAGATGCCCTGTACACATGCCTAGATGCCCTGTACACATATCTAGATGCCCTGTACACAAATCTAAATGCCCTGTACACAAATCTAGATGCCCTGTACACAAATCTAGATGCCCTGTACACATACCTAGATGCCCTGTACACAAATCTAGATGCCCTGTACACAAATGTAGATGCCCTGTACACATATCTAGATGCCCTGTACACACATCTAGATGCCCTGTACACATATCTAGATGCCCTGTACACATATCTAGATGCCCTGTACACGTATCTAAACGATTCGTACATACATTTGGATAACCCATACCGGTTTTCCGTCAAATGTGTTGCACAAAACAAACATTGTCTTAATTTAAAACCTGTTTAATCATTGTTGTGTGGTAGAACTGACACTATTCACAAGCGATTGGGAGCACTAAATGGATTCTTCATAATTGTAGCTATTGTTTCATAACACTTTGGTCACCAGAGCATCTACATTGTCAAATATCATTTCAGGATCATTGCTACAGATAACAATAGACACAATGATAGAAGCAAAACATGTTTCAAATCACAATAATTTTCATACATGGGTATAGGCCATGGTATGGGTTAACCAACATTTGTGGAAATGTCCGCCCAAATAAAAAGATACTGATCTCCGTGGGTGTGGATTGTCCAGCTCCCGGCCTGATGTCCAGCTATGTTGCATTTTTCCATGTTTGTGAGGAACACTTTTGTATTTGGCTCTTTTGTTCAGTAGATTTGATCTTTCACTTAGTTACTGCTAACCCGAAAGAACCTGACTAAGTTATTCCATGCAACATGTGCAATGGGATTTCTGGTGTCATGATATTGCAAGAATATTGCTAAAAGTGGTGTATAATCATACTTACACTGAGATTGGGTTTGTTTTTAATCATGTTATTCACCTGTTTAGTTCTTGTTTCAAGCCCTATTACATTTGTAGTAGTTAGCATCAATGGTCCTTACAAACATAATGATTCATAATTGAAATATGTATAAAATATAAGAATTTCCTATTTCCTTGGATTTATGAAAAGAAATGTCAATTTGCATCTTTGGGTGAAATACCTTGAAAATATTTTTTATTGGAAAGAAGTCGGAAAGAAGGTTACTCTGCTTCCTCCACTGACTTCCTCCACTGACTTCCTCCAAAACCAACATTCATTCTTTGCAGTAAGAATGTGCTTTGCAGATTACAATAATTGCATGCATTTTCTTCATATTTTGATTTTGACCCAGCTACCTTTGTTCATACCCCCATTTATCTAGTTGCAGCATTTTTTACATCACCTCTGAACATGCCAAAACCTCTGGGTTAATGAAGCTGAAACAACTGTATTATGATCCTGACTTAGGATGTTTGGTGCCTGCCACCATGACATGACCATGGTCATCTCATTTCACTCATTGGCTGCTCAGCTATTTCTGCATGGATTGTTACGAAATCTAATAATATGCAGTATGTGCTGTGTCGAACTAAATTCAGTACTTATGTAACATGTTTTGATTTTTAAACCGGCTACATCCTTGGAAGGTTGGACCTTCACATACCCCCTTTGCCTAATACTTCTGACCTTCATGTACAGTTGTGGCTGGCAAAAGAGCCATGGCTGCTGTTACGAAGGTTTACTTGGGATTCATCATGTACATGGCATAGCCAGTTTTCTATGTATCATTTTATTGTTAGCCATGTTGATGAACATGGATGCCTTTGTGAAGAAAGCTTTTATTTCTTTTACCTTCATCATGTTCATGTACAGTTGTGGCTGTTTACCTATTCTGCTTTACCATATCTAACATTGTTTAACATGGTCTCATCTAATAAAATATTCCAAACAGATCAGGTAATATACAGGGCCTTGTGGGTCTTCTATTATCAGTATGCAGAATTTGTTTGTTACCATGGTTACCAATACATCTGAATGGTGATATAAAAGAACATCTAGTTTTGAAAGTGAAGGAACTCCATCTACAAAGCACTTCTCTGATGGACATGTGATGACAGTAATTGCAACAGTATGAGTATCTGCTGATCAGTGCCATGTTTTGTGACCCCCAGGTTTGGCGCTTGAGTGTTACGTGTGTGAGAATCAGGGAGACAATCGAGACAAGTGTGTGAAGACCACCATCCAGTGCCGAGAGAACCAGGACACATGCATGACCAGGGTGCACTGGCATGGTAGGTCTTAATAGTCACTGATGACCAAGGTGCACTGATGTGGTAGGTCTTAATAGTCAGTGATGACCAAGGTGCACTGACATGGTAGGTCTTAATAGTCAGTGACAACCAGGGTGTACTGACATAATAGGTCTTAATAGTCACTGAAGACCAGGGTGCACTGACATGGTAGGTCTTAATAGTCATTGATGACCAGGGTGCACTGGCATGGTAGGTCTTAATAGTCGGTGATGACCAGGGAGTCCTGGTATGGTAGGTCTTAATAGTCAGTGACAACCAGGGTGTACTGACATGGTAGGTCTTAATAGTCACTGATGACCAGGGTGCACTGACATGGTAGGTCTTAATAGTCATTGATGACCAGGGTGCACTGGCATGGTAGGTCTTAATAGTCAGTGATGACCAGGGTGTACTGACGTGGTAGGTCTTAATAGTCAGTGACAACCAGGGTGTACTGACATGATAGGTCTTAATAGTCACTGATGACCAGGGTGCACTGACATGGTAGGTCTTAATAGTCATTGATGACCAGGGTGCACTGGCATGGTAGGTCTTAATAGTCAGTGATGACCAGGGTGTACTGGCGTGGTAGGTCTTAATAGTCAGTGATGACCAGGGTGTACTGACGTGGTAGGTCTTAATAGTCATTGATGACCAGGGTGCACTGGCATGGTAGGTCTTAATAGTCAGTGATGACCAAGGTGTACTGACGTGGTAGGTCTTAATAGTCATTGATGACCAGGGTGCACTGGCATGGTAGGTCTTAATAGTCAGTGATGACCAGGGTGCACTGACATGGTAGGTCTTAATAGTCAGTGATGACCAAGGTGTACTGGCATGATAGGTCTTAATAGTCATTGATGACCAGGGTGCACTGGCATGGTAGGTCTTAATAGTCAGTGATGACCAAGGTGTACTGACATGGTAGGTCTTAATAGTCACTGATGACCAGGGTGCACTGACATGGTAGGTCTTAATAGTCATTGATGACCAGGGTGCACTGGCATGGTAGGTCTTAATAGTCACTGATGACCAAGGTGTACTGGCATGATAGGTCTTAATAGTCATTGATGACCAGGGTGCACTGGCATGGTAGGTCTTAATAGTCACTGATGACTAGGGCGTCCTGGTATGGTAAATGTAAATAATAAATTTAATGATTCAACAACCATACATTTTTGCATCCCACAGGATATGCAATACCAGCAAAGTGAATTATTAGCGCCAATTTCCAATTTGTATTTCTTCTGGATGTTACCTGGCAACGACACAGAGCAGAATGAATGTTTAACCTCTAGGCATACTGAAAAGATTGGAATTGTCTTTCACCATGTACTGAGAATGTACTTTTCGGGGATTTTTCTGAATGTACAAATTCACTGGGTCCTTGTGTCAGTCCACCGATAAACTAATTTGTCTGGCCAGTAAATATTAGTCTACATGTGTCAGACATTAGTCATTTTAAGCCGTTTATTTCTGTGTTTTCAGCACCTGAATTCTGGACACCGCGTAGTGTAAAGATTCACCATGTTTACAAGAGCTGCAACTCCTCCAATTTCTGTGCAATGGAGCAGCGTCGGCTTGGACTGACCTGCATGAGAGACTGGTACAGGGACTGGGAGTGTGTGGAGTGTTGCCAGGGTGACAGATGCAATTACTACACAACAGTAAGTACCACATAGATTCATCATAATTACGTTTTTCAATCATGTTCAACTCAAACATGTCAAACATCAGTTAAACATCCCCAATAACCCATGCTTGTCATACCAGCTGGCAAGAATGAGGATCAGTTGCTCACAATGTGTCCCCTAGCTGATAATATAGTATGTCCGTGTACCCAAACAGTGGCTTAGGGGCTGCTGATGGTGCTGGATTGTCTGACCCTGTGGTAACTGAAAGACTCTTGAACACTGTTAATATTAAATATGCACATGTAAGGATTGGAAAGTAAGCTGTAATTTGACTACCGTATTCGACGTAATAAGTGCCCACCGCGATATTTGCTAATATATTGGCTAGTGAACAATCCCAATTAGCACCCATTCTGATTGATGAATGTACACAAGACTTATTTGTTTGTTTTCAATACGCACTCGTGTGTTATATGCACCCTTAATTATGGGCAATTAAATTCTGGAAAAAAATATCTGTCGTATATAAACATTTCAGGCTGTAAGCATAAACCATGAAATTTATGATCTTTCAACTCTGTTTTTTTTTTCTATTTCTAATTTTGAGAGTGCCTAGGCACTTATTACGTCGAATACGGTAGTTAAAATATTATTCCATGGTGTCTCTTGCCCCTCCCAGGCAGATATTTGATTAGCTGGTTTTAATAAGAAGATAACTGTGATTCACATTTATATTATGAGGCAAATGACTGTTTATGTTATGCATAACCATCGAAACATGAACAATCTGTGCACTGGCAAGATCTGTGAGTAACATGGAGCTTTTAGACTTTTGCTGCAGAATACACCAAAACTGCTGAAGGATTCAGAATGAGAATCTATCAGATAAGGCCGTTGAGACTGAAACTATCAGTTCTGTCAGTAACATTCTCAGTAAACTTTTTTGTTTTGTTTCAGTTGGATGCATCAAGCATAAAAGCCAGCGCAACACTTCTCACGGTTTCCATGGTGATCCATTTTGTGTTCAGAATAACAGACACACAAAATATCTTGCCATCGTTCCCCCATGTTGTATAATTTGGATATTTGATGCCCAAAGTCCAAATTCATTTTCATAGACACGGTTTACCATTCCTCCTGAATAATTATTTTGAATCAGCGAAAAAACAGAAGGCAATTCCTGACAATGACACATACAGACTTTAGTGTTTCTAACCCCCATTCTCAAAGTCATTCGTGTTCTTTATTATCAAATACTGTGCTTTTCCAGCAGCCCCTTCTCAATACTCCTCTCTTTTCATTAGTATGAGTTTAAAATTGTGTTTAACTTGTTTAGGCTGAAGATTCAAAATTCTTAATTGCACTCAAATCCTGACCAGCATTCAGTTTGGGTGAAATGTCTGGTGACAATCATCTTCCATTAGAGATGAGAAGCACTTTGAAAGGGAAAGATAATCAAAGGTGTGATTATATTTTACCCAAATATTGCCTCAAAATATTGAAATGATATAAGCTATCCGAGTCTGACTTGACGAGTGGTTTTATACTTACATAGTTACATGATTGTTAACTGTCATCAATATATATATATATAAATAATGAACAGATGGAGTATAACACAGATATAGCCCACAACTTGGTAATGTTCTACATCAGGTGAATGTCGTGACTGGGTTTTACTGCAGTCAAGCCAGTCTTCAAGTGAAAATCTTGCCTCTGGTTCTATTAGAATGTATTTTTTTAATCCACCTTAAGACATGTACAGGGATGTTTATGATAACCAGTTATTCCCTCTGTCTACATGATATGTGGACATTAACAATACATCTCATTTTCATGTCTGCTTATTGTTTTGCCCTCATGTAGAATTAAAGTACCAGTTTCTCCAGGTCCTTCCTGTGCTGGGTGGAACATCTTTGTACATACCCATACTGTGTATCCAGCATAATGTTAAATGCAACAAAAAACAAAGTTACTTTCCCTCATTTTCAGAATTACAAAAAAAGGATTTTATATCTTGATAGATATGTTGTTGATTGAGATATTGATGTGAATATTATTTTTATACAGGGAGTGTATATCATGTAATTAGTGATGAAAGTTCACAATCATTCCTGTACATAGATTTCTGCATTTGTAATCATTTTAATTAGCATTTTCATGATCATTAGAATGTATATAGTTTTCATAGTTTTCATAAACATGCTCTCACTTTGCTAGTTACTGGATGAAATAACTCACAGGAAAGCAATGACTTTTTGTCAGACCTTTTAGACATTGGACTCTAGCATAGGTTTTATGTAAACAGACGTAATAATTTACTGTTGATGAAGTGATCGTTTAAAGGCAAAATACATTTGACAAATAGTGTGCCTCCAATTTCAACATCACAATAAATTTTGATAATACATGTAGTTTGGTCATATAAAGTTGTATGTCAATGACAATTATTGTTATAAAATCTAGATAACTATTGGCCATGTTGGCAGCATAGGAAAGTAACCATGATAATTTTGAGCACTATTTTTACCCCATGTACACTGGCAACAGGCACAGCCATATGCTTGTATATACAATACATAGTGGTTCTACTTTTTATCCCTGTAACATTTTATATAAATGTATGAATGTTTTATGGAATATGGAACATTTTTAATAAAATATTTTGAATAAAATCCTGTGAAATCTGTTTTGGTTTTGCCTTTTGTTGCCTCTGTTGTGTAGCTCCTAAGCACAAAGCACCAGGGAGGCAGTGTGATCTTACTGCTATTGTATGCTTTGTGCAAGGATAAGGATGGTCAAGAAGCGCATGATGCAGAAATGAAGTCATGTAGAAGTTCTGGAGATTGTTTCAAGTAGCAGTTGCCAATTTAAATTCCTACTGTGACTGTGTCAACATACAATACTTCTGACTTCATGTTTCCTGGAAATATGACTCTTTGTGAACATTCCCTGCTTGTAGTTTTTGCAAACAGCTTGTGTCACTGCTGTCAGCACTGATTGTTAGTGATCCATTCATTTAAGAATTGACCTTGTGTGCCATTGACCAGAGACCATATACCGGTATATCGGTATATGGTCTCTGCATTGACTTATTACATTTCTTGATGTGAATGTTGTCCAAACTGCACGAAATTGCTTAAAATGCAATCACATGTTTAAAACATTTCTGGCAAGCCCCCAGACCCCCCTAGACATTTCCTCTTTTTTTTTCCGGAAAACCTGCTCACATCCCTGAATGATGTTAATGAATTGTTAATGAACCTGTGGCTATTACATGTGTTAGTCATCACTGATCATTTGGCTAATCATTGAAAGGTGGTTGTAAAGATGTGTAAGTCTACAGCAGTTTACCTTTTTATCTATCTGTCACTAGTCGAGACACGGACTGAGTCAATACTACAATAGTTGGATGTGGTTTTCTTTTTTATGTTCTGTAGGCTGGGTTGTAGCGAGGATATCCTTGAACGGGCATGCAATCAAACTCTGACTTATCCCTATGTATTCTTAAACAGTAAGTTCAAGATTTAAGGGTCTAAATGATCAGAAACTATGCTTCTGTATGTATTTGTGTTAGGGAATTTCTAGGGGTTTCCTCAGGAATGTGGATGTAGTCTGTCAGTGTTTATGTCCTTTCAAGAATACAGTCACATGAAAAATGAATGAACGTCAATCTGTGTCATTCAGACACTCATGAACTTCAGTTGTGTAGTCATGTGACAGATCTCTCGTCCAATGGAAAAGTCATGTTTCATGTAACTTCACATCGATATAATTTTCACTGCTGTTTTCCCTTTTACACCCAAAGAAATTTGTTTTGGGAGATAATCAAGACAACCAGACTCTTCTTACTTCATGAGTAACAATTGTTGTACTTAAACTAGAAAGAGCATGGGTAGTATACTATGCAAAAGTGATTTTAGAAGTATGTTTTATATATCATATATATGATCAACTGATGGTAATCGATTGTTCAAAATCTGTGAACATCATTCTCATTGACCCAGATTCCATATGGCACAGTAGATACTAGTATTCAAGGAGAAGGTCATCTGTGCTCAATATCAACCATTAGAGTAAAAAACTGACTGTCGTCCCATGGAGGCAATCAGATCCTGAAATGTGGCCTTGGGAATGTTCACCCACTCCAATGCTTGTGCCAACTGTCAAGAGGTTCTGTGGTTGTCGCAGGCGTTGATCCAGTGCATCCCATAAATGTTTGATTGGGTTAAATCTTGATACCTTGAAGGCCATGGCAGGACCTGGATGTGGGATTCCTCAAAAAGGCTGTTGTCAGTCTTGCCATGTGAGGTCCGGTGTTGTCTTTTTGGAAAATGACGTTCGTTTGTTCGTTTGTTTGTCTCCCCCGTGTAACGATGTGCCGTTAAATACCCTTGAATTTCTGGGCTGATATCATACACAATGATTGTATTGCCGTAGTTGTAGAGGTGGCCGTGGTAGTTCTGTCACATAAGTGACAGGCGTATGAATCTGTCTTGTGCTCAAGTTGTGATATGTGGTCGACCGGATCTGGGAAGGTCAAGTGTTGTCCGGTGTGTCTGATAATGGTTCCAGTCTTGTAATGGTGCTTAGTGTAACGTGGAAATCCTGGCTATGGCCGAAGATGATTCCCGTGTATGCAGTCAGCCGATGGCGTTGTTGCATTTGGCTTCCATCAGTTGCATGTTTGCGCTGTTCAATTGCTGTAAAGTTATGATGGCATGCAAATGAAAACACATTTCTACAGCCCAACAAGTGATGTTGCAAGTGCATTTCATGTTGGTGTGTTTCGGCGCTTGGCTCCCACGTGGTTTTGTTTTTGCGATTTTTCCATCTTTCCACAAAATTGCTGCAGTACCTAATTTTTTCCACACAAATCAATCCCAATCCATGCAGAAATGCCGAATTCATTTTAGGTATTACTATGGATATTGGCATCACTTTTTTTGCAGAGTATATATGAATTCTTACACAAGTTTTGTAAAATCAGTATGTTGAGTGTAATAATTTCTTTTACCAATTAGTTCCTTATCTTTTCGAGCTCCCCTTTAGAAAAGTGCACTGATCGCAACCTTATTTAAGAAATAAACGACTTGTGGTCATTGTTTATTGTACACTAAAACACTGTTGGGAGAATAAACAATGAGAGGCACTGTCTGCAGTGTTTTATTGTACAGCAAACAACGACCATGAGTCATTATATTGAGATATCAACATTATGTACAGCCTACAATGTTAATAAAATGTACAAGCTTTAAAAATATTTACCTGTATTTAAATAATGATTACTCACGGAATACAATCCAACATCGGCAATGTTGGACAAGGCTATTTTATGAACAAGGGGGTTAAGTTTGGTATTTCTCAGATATTCTCAGAGTTTTCATGTTGATTGTCGTGTACCTTTTTCCTAATACCGATAGTCATATCTTGCCCTTGGATGCGATCGTTCGGCCATAGCTTTTATCTGTTTTGCCCACCTACATCTATGGGGAACAACTCACCAGACAATTCCCTGTCAATAATAATGTCATCCAATTTACAATGTCTGGAGACAATGTCATCAAGTTGTGAGTATATGTTCCGACTCTCTAGAAACAAGTATTTGTCACAGAGTGACGAAATATCCCCCGCCATATACACCATAGTACCAAATATGAAGACAATCCAGCGATTAGTTCTTGAGATATTGTGGCAACACCGTTTTCCAACTCCAAAAACAGATTTGCCTGCTGTGACCTTGAAAATGGGGCCAAGGTCACCAAATCTGACAGGTGTATGCGGTGTCTGTATATACACTATAGTTCCAAATATGAAGACAATCCAGCGATTAGTTCTTGAGATATCGCGGCAACACCGTTTTCCAACTCCAAAAGCAGATTTGCCTGCTGTGACCTTGAAAATGGGGTCAAGGTCACCAAAACCGACTGGTGTCTGTATATACACCATAGTTCCAAATATGAAGACAATCGAGAGGTTTAGTTCTTGAGATATCGCGGCAACACCGTTTTCCAACTCTAAAAGCAGATTTGCCTGCTGTGACCTTGAAAATGGGATCAAGGTCACCAAAACCGACTGGTGTCTGCGGAGTCTGTATATACACTATAGTTCCAAATATGAAGACAATCCAGTGTTTAGTTCTTGAGATATCGCGGCAACACCGTTTTCCAACTCTAAAAGCAGATTTGCCTGCTGTGACCTTGAAAATGGGGTCAAGGTCACCAAAACCGACTGGTGTCTGCGGTGTCTGTATATACACCATAGTTCCAAATATGAAGACAATCCAGTGTTCAGTTCTTGAGATATCGCGGCAACACCGTTTTCCAACTCTAAAAGCAGATTTGTCTGCTGTGACCTTGAAAATGGGATCAAGGTCACCAAAACCGACTGGTGTCTGCGGAGTCTGTATATACACCATAGTTCCAAATATGAAGACAATCCAGTGTTTAGTTCTTGAGATATCGCGGCAACACCGTTTTCCAACTCCAAAAGCAGATTTGCCTGCTGTGACCTTGAAAATGGGGTCAAGGTCACCAAAACCGACTGGTGTCTGCGGTGTCTGTATATACACCATAGTTCCAAATATGAAGACAATCCAGTGTTTAGTTCTTGAGATATCGCGGCAACACCGTTTTCCAACTCTAAAAGCAGATTTGTCTGCTGTGACCTTGAAAATGGGATCAAGGTCACCAAAACCGACTGGTGTCTGCGGAGTCTGTATATACACCATAGTTCCAAATATGAAGACAATCCAGTGTTTAGTTCTTGAGATATCGCGGCAACACCGTTTTCCAACTCTAAAAGCAGATTTGTCTGCTGTGACCTTGAAAATGGGATCAAGGTCACCAAAACCGACTGGTGTCTGCGGAGTCTGTATATACACCATAGTTCCAAATATGAAGACAATCCAGTGTTTAGTTCTTGAGATATCGCGGCAACAAACAGGTGGGACGTACGGACGGACGGACGTACGGACGGACGGACGGTCGTGAATACTATATCCCCCGCTTCGCGCTTTCGCGCGGCGGGGGATAATAATGTCATGCTTCATTCTTTGCGATTTCTTGTGTAGCTATCTTATATTTCACAATAACATTCAAATGATGCCAACAATGGATGATGTAAACTATATATACTGGTGCGCATGAAGTGATATTTGCACTAATACACATACAATTTTTATTAACTCGATTATTTTCGGTAACAATAGTCATACATAATAAAAACTCTGCATTTGTTTGGCTTTGTTTCAAAAGACTGCTTTTTCTTTAAATATTAATGATTATGGATAAGTTTTTGTATTGAGTTTATGCAAATGAGATCAAGTAGTATGTGCAGTTTGACTTTAAATAGATTAAGTTTACCATGTCACTTTTTATATGAAAAGATGAACATCTTGAAATTGTGGGTGACTGCCAACACAAGCAACCAGTGGGTTCAGTCTTTCAGACTTACTCTCCATGAATGAGCACAGGGGACACCGTGGCATGAGGTGCTTAGTTGGCTGTGCACAGTTACTTCCATATCCGGGGTCCGCTGGTCATGTGTTCATATCTCATATTTGTCCCAGTAATAATCCTTGCTCGTGGGTTTCACTAAATCGTAAATGGCCGTGACCTGTGTCACTCATGGGCTTCATGTGACCGGCCATGATACAATAGAAATACTGTTCAAAGAAATCACATTCACAAATAGAATGTAGTGCTATGACAGTCCAAACTCTCATAACTTAAAACAGACTTATAGTCAAGGGACTAAGTATCACTAAGTGCAAATGGGCATTGTCTACATATTGTCATTCATTCCCAATCTGAAAGGAAAAGAAAACAAACAAAGATTTATACAAAGATGATTTATTCATAGTGATATCACTTCTCCGATGCAGTAACGGAATAGATAAACACTCCATCAGTTCCAACTACGAAGCTATTTTAAGATAGCAGTACTGTGTACATACATACATTATACTTCTTGGCCAACTAGAGGGTCGGTCAAACATGGCGACCGCCTCTGTGAGCTTTCTGCCCTCCTTCAGCCTTGGTAACACTTGGAGGGACAGAAACTAAAGATTGGGCTCAACCATTCAGTACACTTCATTCCTGTTGCCTTCACTGCATCAAAATTCAGAAATCACTGGCAACTTTAACAAGATTCATTTTACAAGTTTCTGATTTGACACAGATTGATAAGATTGTTCTTTGGACAAAGCTGATGCCCAATCTTTAGTGAAGCTTGTTTGTGGTTTTATTGACAAATATTTAAATCCTTGTCGTCTGGCCGCATGCGTATTATATATATCATACATCTAATATGTAATATTGTATGTTTCACAAAATTGGGAGACGTTTTTGAGATACCTATTGCAGTGGTTTGTAAGATCAAAAAGGTACTGTATATGTATAACATCTTTAGATTTTCTCAACATTGGATATGCCCAATTTCCCAGATCTGTTATTATGTCTGAACCACAATTTGGTTTGCCATTATTATCACGATATTTGGGAAGCATTACATGGAAATATCTACTGCAATAGTATTTCCCTCACCACTCATAAATGTCAGTAAAATTCACTATCCCTATTATGACCTATATTGTAATAAATATCTCTGTAACCTTCATCATCATGGAAGTAGGTCACATTGACCTAAATCAAGAGAACTAGGTAACTTTAACCCAACTTCCAATGAAATAAATCAACTTGACCCTTATGGCATGGAATCAGGTCACACTAAAAATTGATCACACTGACCCTACTACCTAAGAACTTTCATGGTGACCAAGTCACAAGGAAGTAGGTCACACTGACCTAGTTAACTGGCTTCCACATTCTGCTGACTGCATCATTGTCTGCCCTTGCCAACCACTAATGAATAACTACAATTTTGTTGAATAAATAAACGCCTTCTAACTGTAGTAAGTAGTAGTGTATATGTAATTTACTTTGAACAGGTAGCTTGTGGCATCACCGCTATTACATGGCACAGAGAAGATACAAACTTTAAATAAAAAGTAACTTTGGGGTTAAAAGTCGTCAATCTATACTTTGTTCTGACCATAATCTCAAAATATCAGATCCAAACTGAGTTAAAATTACATTCACCCAACCCAAAGTCACAGGTGGTGGTTTTGAGTGTGGCAAAGATGTGAATATTTAGTTGAAGAAATACCCACAAAAGTGCACTGGAAACGATGTTTGTCTAGGTGGAGAGGCATGCAACTGATAACTCTAATAAAATAATCCTGCTACAGTAAACTCAGGACAATAACTCAACCATGCCATCAGAACACAATGCTATAAAGAACCAACAACAATTAAGTTAATATAGAGCTATACACAGCTATATCATAAAATGGCTCACTACCGTAAAATCATGATCAAGTGATCACAAAGAGTGGTCACATGATCGATGATACCATTGCACTTCAACGAAGTCGGTGCCATCGATTACATAAATACACTAGATGCAAATATTCATCAGTAACAAGAAATCCATTTAAAGCAATGCTACAACCTTGAAACATACGTAAATATATATGTATGTATAATATATTACAGAAGCAAGCTCGGCTGCCTATATGGTGTAGTGTACGTAAAATGACCTTTCAACTTTGACCTGCATTACGAATAAGGCCACAATGATTTCAAACTAGTTATCCCATTCGAATGAAATGCCATGAACAATAAGCCCACTCCTCAAGGTCAGGGTCAGTGTTTTGCTCTTGCATTGTGGGTAGTAGCCACATCATTGTAGGTTAAGGTCATGAGTGTGTTACACGTTAGCATCACTCAATCGATATATGAACATATTTATACACAGACAGGAATCTAGTCAAGCACCTAACATGAGGCTGTACATTACAGACAATATCAATGTAATGTATAAATCAAGTCCATTTCACTACAGAAATGCCTACAGTAAATATATGTCCGGCCACAGTTACTGACCTGTATACATTGTTATTGCCTGGTAGTCATTTCACACTTACCTGTCAATTTCAGTCCATCAAGAGTGTCTCCCATAGAATGAGTTTAATAGCACCAATACATTGTGGAGACATAGCAGACGAGGTACATTAAGGTCAAACTCATTATAAGACTTTCAGCATACATTTCAAACATAAGGACAACAGTTTGCCCATTTTGTGGTTGTCCTTGACCTTCTGTCCGTATCTACATGACAACAACTGACATATATTTCACTTTCTACATGAGACAACAATATACAGAGAATTTATTCACACAAGAAGCTGGCATAGCCTTAATCTATATGTAGAATATCCAGTAACAAACAAACACAAGTCTACAATGTTTTTTTTAACTTACAAGATTCAAAATATATTACCTAGCCAAAACTTCTCGTATGAGCTTAAGTTAAACTGATCATACAGTACAAATATATATACGAGGTAAATAAACCGACATTTAGCACTTTAAATGACAAAAGGCAACGGATGGATAATATATTTGTACAATTTCGAGAAGGGCAGTTCCTTATCGGCTATCTGCCCTTTGGCAGTTTCTTTGGGGAGTTTAACCCTTCATACATGTTACTTGCATAACAGAATAGCACTTTTAGGGTTAAAAAGCTTAAATGCTTGATCATATACAACAATATTAGCCAAACTGGGGTGTTACAGCGAAATCAGCAAGGGTTCCCAAATTGTTAAAAACTTTAAACAACTTCTAGTATGTGTGAAAAATATCTACACAATTTCAACATGAATATCTCACCATACAATATGCCAACAAGTATATAGCACATGATGACCCCTTGGTTCATGGTTGAATCTAAACACTTCCGGCAAGGTTTGGGCCATGATATTTCAGCATGTTTTAGCAGGATATTACATACTTGCTCCAAAATCTCCTTAACCCTTTTCACATAACTTTCTGTTCACACCAAAAAGAGTTAAAATTTGGCAAGTAGGAAAAACAAACCAAGAGCAAAAAAGATTCTTTGAATAAAGTTCCCTTTACATAGATCTGCATGTGGAAACACCTGCACAACCAAATCTGCATCCTCCATGTGCTAATTGCCCTTGCACAACCTGTTCCTCATCAATACACAAGCCTAACAAAGCAGTCATGTAACAACCAAGCGATGGTAATATCAAATAAATTTCCCTCCAATGGCAATGAAAGACGAGTAGCAAGGCTAGTACACAGCTCGTGCTAGAGAATCTTGGAACCAGCTGTTGTCCAATCAGATCCTACGACTTAATCTTGCTTTGACCAATCATGATCTTCGTTACAAAGTTGACGATGGCTGAAGCGGGTTGTTCGGGATCCAGCTCAGCGAACAAATGACATGAATTGTCAGACACTCCACCCTGTTTCCTGGCTACAAAGCCAAAGATCCTGAAGAAGACACAAAACAGTATGCAAAGGGTAACTTAGTGGGTCAAGTTATTATTGTAATAGATTGAGTGCATGAGTAGGGTTTATGCCACTTTTGGAAATAATCCAGCCATATCATGGCATGGGGATACCCGGTATGGTCTTCACATAGTCTTCAGTTTGATGAGACAATGATTTAACCACTTGGCTATCCTACCATCACATATTATACAACGTACTTGCATCTCGGAATTACACATTCACTGTCCCTAGCGTATTAACAATGTTAATTAACAAGCAACATATAATCTGTAATTATGAGTTACGTGAAGGTTATTCTTAACATTAAACATATGTTTTTACTGAGAAAATATGGGTTTCCTGATTTCAAATGGCATTACTCTACTGTTGGAACAATGTTAGATAACAGTAACCTGTACAATAATATCAGGATACCATGAACAATGGATGACAGCTTCAATTATATGCCACCAAGCGTTCACATGACGTCACATTGCTATGGGCCATTTTGCAAGGATTGAAAACAAAGTAACAATTGCAATAATACTCAGTGACAATTATCTTACATTAATTTACATGTAATATAGTTTATCCATTCATAATAAGCTGACCCTAATACCGAAAATTGTCTGGATGGAAAACATTTACATATCGGTATGTTAAGAATGGGAGAGTTATCTAAGAAAGCTCACTTTTTTTTAGGCTGATAAAAACACAGTATCCAAGTCATATCTGCGGTAATTCCTTAACTGTTCTCTTATCTAGACAACTGAGGTCTGCACCGCAATATTCAATAAAAATATTTGAAACTATTATTTCAGAGCCCAGTTTAACTCACTTGGCTTCAACTTGCATCCCAGATACATCTGTTTCCCGCTTCCACCTACAACCAAACAAACAGGTAAGACACAGTGGCTACATACAAATTTCCATCTAGAAATACAAGGCTGCATCTGTGACTGAATAAGGTTTGTAACCATCACCAGTGTGACATTTAACGTGGGAGGAACCATTTAAGTGACACACATAAACCACTTAGGTGAAACCAATGAGCAGAGTAAGGTGCTGACACTGACAAAATATCAGCAGCAGTTACTATTTGAGTATCCCACAATTATATGAGTATTGTTTAATGCCTCTTTGAACAGTATTCCAGTTATATCACGGTGTCAACTAATGTGGGAGGAAAGCCCAAAATTATGCAGGTCTGACGTTCACCAGTTCAGTGAAACCCACAAGCAGTGATGGTCCTGACAAACCTAGAAACATCATTGGGGCAAACCAGAATTTGAACCTATGATCATAGATCCCTCCCAGGCACCCCAATCACAAATATAGTTATTGGTACCTATAAGAGAAACTATGCAGAGGGACACATCTAGCATCTTTCTGAGGCAAGGGAACTAACTGACAATAAGTCCTGTTCCACCCTTGCTGAAATAGGCTAATGCATAGTCCAATCAAAATCAAACAATAGTTATCATTGTGAATAATTCTAAGAATACCACCTCTATCACATCAGTGCCATAAATTCCTGTTTATGCTGAGAACCACACTATAAATTTTTATAAATTTTCAACAGACGTCCACTACACTGCCAACATATCCATAGTTGTGAGGGAAACCCTATCCCTTGCCAGAGGCGCCACTGCGCATGCGCAAGGCGGGAATCTAGTCACTTCTTTCAACCCATACTCTCATAAACTAGATGCAGATATTTGGGGAGGTGGGAGGGATTAATTCCTGATGTGATAGAGGTGGTATTCTTAGAATTATTCACAATGATAACTATTGTTTGATAATTCTTGTGAATACCTCACCTCTATCACATCAGTGCCAGTATACACCAGAGGGACCGGCGGGTTCTGGTATCTAGCATCCCATAGATATTTGGCTAGTGAAGTGGTAAAACCAAGGATTATATGCCAAAAGGGGTCTTAAACGGATGTGTCTAATAGTCTACTTACAAGACTTAGACGTATAGAATTTTCAAGGCGTCATGTGAAGGGTATATGTATATTCCCTTGTGATACTTAGACTTTTTAGTGACGTCGTTTCCTGTGATGACGTCATCTGTGACGTCACTTCCGGTGATGACGTCATCTGTGACGTCACTTCCGGTGTCACTATTCTCCCGTATCACTTATGACGTGGTTTACCGTAATGCCCTTTTGGATAGTGATATTTAACGTATCTTAACGTTTCTCCGGTGTGATGACTCCTATGACGTCACTTCCGGTGGTAATACATTAACCTTCCTATCATGTAGATTACCGTATATCACTTAATCCTTCGATCTCTGATTTCAGTGTTGACATTTGCCCTGTTTTACTAACTCAATAGCGCAGTCCAGTAACAAAGTACAACTTACCCTGAGTTCCTGAGGTACTTCTGAAATCTTCACCCCCCCCCCCTCTCTTTTCCCTTTCTTGGAAGAGGGAGGGAACAGGTTACTTTATTTGGTAACTATCACCTGGGGAGCCACCAAAGGCCCCAGAGTGTATAGTCCATTTAGATCGGTCTGTATGTCTCGTAAGTAAAAGTTTGAAAAAGTGTTGTGGGACTTCCACTGGCAGCTGGCCACGATTTGTTCGATGGATGCAGTATTCCATGTGGCTAGGCTTGTTGCCAGTGCTCTGATTTCGTGGGGTCTGCAGCTACCCCAAATCGGAGTGGAGATTTGTGCCGTTTTATAGCTATCTGTGATAGCTGTTTTTAGCCATCCCGCTAGTGCCCTTTGCGATGTCCTTTTCTGACGAGGGCTTGCAAGAGATAAATAGGCGTTTTCTCTGCTTTCTGTGGGGTTGAGTCGCTGTGATAAAATATCTCAAGGCTCTTATGGGGCAAAGCAATCTATCCGGGAAGTCCACACTTTTACTTAAGGCTGGAATTGTGTATTGCCGATGTCCGAGTGGGCCGAAGGTTGACGACTGGTTTTTGGCAATAAATTCAGGGAGCGATCTGAACGACACTGATTTCCATTCTTTGGTATGGGTTACAGTGGAGATGTCAATAGCGTGTTGTTCTGACACGCGAGCCGCCGTAGCCATGGCTAAGAGAAAAGCAGTTTTCTTGGAGACTGATAGTAATGTCGCACTACTCATGGGTTCATACGGTGCTTTCATCAATGCCGACAATACTATAGATAGATCCCATTTAGGAAAAGTACGTGGTACTTTTATATCTTCCAGGGCAAAAGACTTCATAAGTCGATTTAGTACTGGATGGGTACCTATAGATAGGTCATCGTGTTGTAATACTGATGACTGGGCTGATCTATATCCTTCGATAGTGCCGTGTCGTAAATTCTTGTCATTTCTGAGATGGAGCAAGAAATCGGCTACTATAGGTATCGTTATATCTCCATGTAACTGTTTTCCTCTTCTCCATTCGACGAACTTGTCCCATCTGTTATTGTATATCGCAGATGAGGTTGGTCTCCATGAGCTAGCCACTCTTCGTGCAGCTGATTCAGAGTAACCGGCTGCTTGCATCTTATGCGAGATAACTTCCAAGCGTGAAGATGGAGGTTGTCGAGGCGGCCGTAAAATATGTCCGTCTTTGGTTGTCTCAATAGGTCGGGACGTACTGGGAGTTTCAGAGGTACTTCTAGCAGCAGTTGTAGGAGTCTCGGAAACCAAGCCCTTTTTGGCCAGGCCGGGGCTATGAGGATTATGACACAGTCCGTTTCCTCTATTTTCCTCAGTACTCTGTCTAGGAGAGCCCATGGGGGAAATGCGTAAGCAAACATTCCCTTCCATTCCATGGAGAGCGCATCGACTTGGAGTGCTAGTGGGTCTGGTACCGGGCTGACATAGACTGGTAGTTTGTTGTTGAGACATGTGGCGAATAGATCTATGTTTGGACTGTCCCATACCTGGGTTATCCACTTGAACACCTCGGGATGTAGTGACCATTCTGTGGGTACTATCTTGTTTTTCCGGGATAGGTAATCTGCTAGTATATTTAGCTTCCCCGGAATGTGTCTTACTTCGATCTTGCAACTCACTGAGTCCACCAAGGCATATAAACATGTAACCTCCTTCAGTAAAGGCTGAGACCTTGTGCCTCTGTAGGTTAAATCTTGGATAGATGTGAGCGGGCATAGGCGAGACATCCACCAGCGTCTCGACTTGACGGCCTGATCGAGTGGGCTTGTTATCATGTGCTCTACTCTTGCATATCTGTCCTCTGTGGGTGCTGCTATGCCCCTTGTTGAGTAGAATCTTGCGCCTATGTAGGTGATGCCTGTGTGGGTACTAGCTCTGTTTTAGAGGGTGAACCAGGAAACCTAAGATTGTTAGTAGTGAGGCACACTGTGTTTAAACTAATTGCGCTTGTCCTGATCGGCCAATAGGAAATCGTCTATATACGAGAAGCCTTATGAGCTTATATGGGCGCAAACCGATGATGGGATTGGTGATCCTGGTGAATAACCATGGGGCTAAGGATATGCCGAATGGTAGTACCCTGAACTGGTATCTCTGACCGTTGACTGCAAAGTGTAGGTACCTGGAGTACTGGGGAGTAGAACCCGTGAGTGGTCTCTTGACTCTTTTAAGGTGCTGATAGCCCCTTGCTGAACTTGTGTAATCTTGGGTCGATGTCTGTGAGACCGGCTAGTTCGACTGGATTCGATGTGGTCGTATCTTTGATCTTCTGTAGTTCTAAATCGTTGTCCATTGGGCAAGCGATGTCGGTAGGGTCTGAAGGCATTTCCGGTGGTATCCCCTTCGGGGACTGCTTCTGCTTCCTCCTCTGCGAAGTGGGATGATCATCTTTAGCAGGAACTGTGCTTCTTGACGTTAGTCCGGTTGCTGATTGAAGATCTTCCTGCATCTTCAGAATGTGTTCCAGTGAGCTGTTGATTAAACCGGTCTGCTGTAGTGTCATCTCCGTGGGGTGTCTAAGTGTAGGCCTACGTTCTGATTGTTCGGGGTATGACGTTAGTAGAAAAGTTCAACGATGCTCGGCTGCTGTGCGCAGGGGCAACTTGTGTAATCACTCTTATTAATGGCAGGCATACCCAGTCTAACATTAAGTGCCGAAAGTAGCATTTAATGAATATTCGATTCTTGATGACGTCATCAATATATGACGAACAGGGAAGGGTAAGGAATTCTAGAATCAACTGACCGGTACCTCCTACCCGTCACGTTCTAACAAGGTCATCTTGGTATTTTGTCCTTGTATCTGTTTTAAAGGGCGGGCATTAGTTTATAGAGTTCTGCAATGATATGTTAATGGTATAATTATTTGGTCTATAATTAACCTCCGTAGTAGAATCCCCACTGTATAAAAAACAGTATTAGCAATAGATCCGCACCCCCTACTCGGGCTGTGCTGAGACTGGGTCATATGGCTGAGGGTAGCGTAATCCCGGTCGTCTGATCTACGACTGGCCGTGCGGGAATCACGTGTTCTATAACTGTGTGATAGTGACGTAACATCTCCCTCGCTTCTCCGCCCGTGTAACTGGACTGTGCGGCAGTATGAGATGGCGCATGCTTAGGAATTCTATCCTGATTAGCACGAGCTTTGTCAGTTCGTCTATCTTATGGCTAGAGGGTGAATGGTGTGTATTTCTGAGCATACTGCGATGCAATGTCCGTGATTCACGATCTGCCCTATGGTGTACGTGGTAGGGAGGTAATCTATCTCTTTTTGTTCTCCTGTGTCCTCATAATAATCAGATACAGCGTAGGCTTGCTTGTCTGCTGTATGAGGAAGTACTGCCATATTCAGCCTTATATCTCACTTAATCTCGTGCTTATCAATCCCCGTTTGGTCATGCCGGGTTTGTGCAATCAATTTTTTTTTTTTTTTTTTTTTTTTTTTTTTTTTTTTTTTTTTTTTTTTAGATTTTATTCCTGAGCCCTTGATTGCGTGCGCTTTTATCAATTATTACAACATTGAGTTGGTTAATTTCTCCGAATCCCTTTAGTTAAAAACCTGTGAGGTACATCTGCTCCTCAACTTTATTGGGAGATCCTTAGGTCTCTTGAATCTTGTGATCGACCCCTGTTGGCCAAGCCCGGGTTGTGCGACAGATTCTTTTGGATATGAGATTTCCGGAGACATTGATTGCATGCGCTTTTATCAATCTGATCGACCCCTGTATGGCCAAGCCGGGGTTGTGCGACAGATTCTTTTGGATATGAGATTTTCTGAGACATTGATTGCATGCGCTTTTATCAATCTGATCGACCCCTGTATGGCCAAGCCGGGTCATAGATTGCATGCGTGCGTCAATCATAACAGACATTGAATTTTGTTATTCTTTCCGTGAACTCATTTAAGTTAAATGGGGAACGCGGCAGAGGGTGAAAATCGTTAGTTTCTGTCCAAACTCGATGATCGACCGTACCAGACGTTGCCGGATGCAAGTTAGAGGCACTTTCTTTTTGACCGGTAAAATGCATCTGCTCCTCAACTTTTGGGAGAGTGGGATGAGCGACGGGGTCTCTTCTCCTCATAAGGTGAGACGGCGCTCTCGCGCGACACTCGCGCTTTTACGCTTTATACATCATTACAGACATTGAATTCCGAACTCAATTAAGTTAAAAGGGGGAACGCGGCAGAGGGTGAAGATCGTTAGTTTCTGTCCAAACTCGATGATCGACCGTACCATACGTTGCCGGATGCAAGTTAGAGGCACTTTCTTTTTGACCGGTAAAATGCATCTGCTCCTCAACTTTTGGGAGAGTGGGATGAGCGACGCGTTCTCTTCTCCTCATAAGGTGAGACGGCGCCCTCGCGCGACACTCGCTTGTAACCCACGTGATTAATATGGCCACCAAGAGCTTAATCACTTGTTTTTACTTGATGCGCTAGTAATCTTTGTAATCAGGATTGTTGATACATGCCTTGTAGAGCTTGTCAATTTTCTCCTTTGACAGAGGCTCGCAATAGCTGCACCTTGACTTTTGTGTGCAGTTGTTTGCATGATAGACATCTAGGGTGAGGGTCACCAGGTATCTGGTGTTGCCCACAGCCTGAACAGACGGGTGTCTGTCCTTGAGATGAAGATCTCATCCCACAAAACGTTTCTAACTAATTACTTACTAGAACTTCCGATCTTCTTATACCCCCGTTCTCTGCTTGTAGACTGCTCACTGCTTGTAGCCTATGAAGCTTGAGAAGATCTAATGTGCTTTGTAAGTGTGGAACTCAATCACGTGTACGGATGTGCAACAAAATATTTTCCTTGTTGTCATCTGGACACACAGGAAAGAAGTGACTAGATTCCCGCCTTGCGCATGCGCAGTGGCGCCTCTGGCAAGGGATAGGGTTTCCCTCACAACTATGGATATGTTGGCAGTGTAGTGGACGTCTGTTGAAAATTTATAAAAATTTATAGTGTGGTTCTCAGCATAAACAGGAATTTATGGCACTGATGTGATAGAGGTGAGGTATTCACAAGAATTATAGCTTAACGAAATCGACATCTGGATCATAAACAACATGGCTACTACATTCCGTTGATTGAAGGATTTGCACAGCATGTTTACTATCAAATGGGCGTCGACAGATAATTTCTAAATCCTTTCATGTGTTTAATGATGATGCTCACTTCGCAAGGAAAGACCCATTGTATTACAATAAAGATCTTGATTATCAATCAGAAGGTGGCACCATTCTATTTGAAGCAAATGCAAGTAATATAGTAGGTGGAATCTGAGTGGTCAGGAGGAAGGACGTAGAAGAGACGTAACTTGTAATAGCCACTGGTGGTGCTACGATCAAACCCCGAAATTCCAGCTTAGTTCAGCAAAGGGTAAAAACTGGACTTTTACAGTCATGTAACTCCCTTGCCTGGGGAAGATGCGCATTGAGATGACAGGGACTGCCATGTCCCCCAGTACTACATGACTAGACCCCCCTCTCAGTTCCCACTGATGATGCCGCCTGTAATGTACTTACTTCCTGCTATCTGGGTCCATGCCACAGAAGGTAACAGCTGAAACTGGGTAGTGACGACGGAAGAACAACCTGGAGGTAACAGATTGAGTGCATGAGTTAGAGAATCACAACAATGTTAAGTTTCGTAAAAAAACATCATATGCAGCATAATGAGGACAGACCAAGCAACTTTCATAGTTTCTGCTCTAGATGGCTGTCCAACCAAACAAGAACAGTTCAGGCAGTTGGACACCAAAGCCACCAAAGTAGTTTAACTCTACCCTGGACAGATAAATCAAGATATTTGATGTTCGTACATTTTACATCATTGTTGCATGCAAAATGTCCCTGTGTCAATTCCTTTATCAAGCAGCTTTGCCTCAGAACTAACAGCATTAATAACAGTTAACTGGAGCAAGTTTTATTTGTTGGTAGCTGAGCGTAAACACTCACTTCCTGTTGTTGTCCGTGAGCGTGATGCCCTGATTGGACACCTTGAAGTGCACAGCTGTGGTGACAGGGTTTGGGTTAGATTCCAGGGTGACCTTGAGAGCCCGAGCTATGGCTTGTGGTCCAGTCAGAGATTCCATGTCCACAGAGTTGATGAAGATCACATTGCATGCTACCAACACAAACACCATCACATCAATTCCTCTGCTTACTGCTTTCCATGATAAAACTCTTAAGTGTTCAACATTGTTCTTTATAGCAATATTGTATGCACAAATTCATGACAATACTTTTCATGTTTGGGTAAAGATCCTTAAGTCCACATGTTTGGGCGGCCATTTGGTCAAAAAATACAAAGTTGAAAAAAAGGACAATTGTACGCAATTAAGGTCAAATATGACGAATAAAGAACTAAATGTTACTACTAAAGGTCAAAATACAATATTAATAGTCAAATGTTACAATAGACGTCATAAGAAAAGAAAGAACAATGTGTACTAAAGAACGTTAGTGATCACGAAAGGACGTTTTCAATAAAGAACGTCAGTGAGCACGAAAGGATGTTTTCAATAAAGAACGTCAGTGAGCACGAAAGGACGTTGACATAAAGAACGCCAGATGGTGCTGAAATTTGTAAAACATTCCGAGTTTAATCGGCTTGTTCCGCCGTGTATATGATAACTGCATGCCGAGGTGCACAATGTATTACGTCATTCCTCGTGCACTCACCGTCTGACGTCACACATATAAATGTGGATGTAAACAAGCGAAATAAATATGGTTTGAAAACAAACGCTGGCGTCATAGATGAAACTCGATTTTCTTTATTTATGGAGAGCTATTTTTCCTAACAAATGTGTAAGTTATACATATGCATACAAATCCATTTGGTATATATATTTGTTGTTCAGATATTAGGCAGCATTTTGTTCGCACACAGTTTCCGAAAAGCTGTTAAATAAAACAAACTCTTGCACAACGTTCACTTTTCAGATGAAAATGTGCGTCTGAAACAAAACTCGGCATCATAGCACCCTCGTGTTGCACCAAGCATGAACAGTTATTGGATCTCTGTAGATGAATCCTAGTTTAGCGTTAAGTGAGTGTTTTTTGAAGATTGTACACAAAAAGCATGTACCAATGTTAGGCAGATGTTGGGTTACACAGTATACTGTATTTATGAAAAGGCCCTAAGCGGTGACAAAGCTTAACGCAACATGTTTATACACAATGTGTACATTATACATTATAAATACATGTATATATATATGTGTGACGTCAGACGGTGAGTGCACAAGGAATGACGTAACACATTGTGCACCTCGGCATGCAGTTATCATATACTATACACGGCGGAACAAGCCGATTAAACTCGGAATGTTTTACAAATTGCAGCGCCATCTGGCGTTCTTTATTGTCAACGTCCTTTCGTGCTCACTGACGTTCTTTATTGAAAACGTCCTTTTGTGCTCACTGACGTTCTTTATTGAAAACGTCCTTTCGTGATCACTAACGTTCTTTCGTACACATTGTTCTTTCTTTTCTTATGATGTCTTTTGGTAACATTTGACTATTAATATTGTATTTTGACCTTTAGTAGTAACATTTAGTTCTTTATTCGTCATATTTGACCTTAAAAGGGTACTTTTGTCCTTTTTTTCAACTTTGTATTTTTTGACGAATGGCCGCACATACACATGTTCTGTTCTGTCCCAACAGACAGTGGTAGTCATTGTCAGTTGGGGTCAAAGCCACCTTATACAGCTTCATGATGTAGGTTGGTGCTTTGGAGAAACCCACCAGCAACGTTATAGTGGTGATCGATACACCAAGAATCATTATCACCACCCAGCACGATCTGGCACCATCTAAGGGACATAACTCTGCACAGTGAATTGTGGCGCCTTAGACCTATGAGTTACATGTGAAGACTTGTAGCAGAGGTTCAAAATATGAAAATTAGCAGATGAAGGTCAATAGCAGATGAACCTACCTGCACCCTGTGCCAACAGAGCAGCCGCTGAACTTGGCATTTCTGTGCTGCGAGGACTTTCAGCACTCTGCACCTCGCCCAGGTAATCTGCAGATTAACATGTTTCACATCAGTCTTGGCTGAGGACAGATGCCTTCACAGTGTTATAAAACAGCTGACACCATCAATATTTCCTAATAATACAGTGTGTGTATTGCTCACCTGCATCTGGTAGATTGAGTTTACAGGGCAGAGCCAGAGGGGTGATGGAGTGTTGGTACACTAGGGCTGCTAGGCTACCTGCACAAACAAACACAAACATACTGTCAGTCTCCACCAGGGGATTTCTCATCTGTATCATCATTTGAAATGACGATGGACTCCATGTGGATACTTAAGGTAATTAGGTTTAGCATATCAATACAGAACAATAGATATTCCCTGTAGACCATTTTAAACTGATAAGATTTTCATCCTTTCCATCCATATTTGCCTAGAAATGAATGTCATGTCCAACATTCCTTGTTTTCTCAACAGATTGTAAAGCCCAACTCTTACCAAAGACTGGCTCATTGCTGCATCCACGCAGTCGAACACCTTTAGGTGTAGGTTCAATGAGGAAGTGCCTCACTAGGTCAGCTAGAGGGTCGCCCGACGTCTTGGTCTGGACGTTGGGAGGGACCGTGGCCACCTTCAGCGCCAGGCCAAAGGCTCCTGGGAAGGAATTGCTGTCACGGATCACAAATGTTCCTGGTTGTTTGTCCTTCAGTAGGACAATAGCTGCAGCAGAGAACAGAAACATGATATTCATGGGCTTCTTGCAGTTCATCCACACTCAGCACGAGCCATGTAATCTTTTTCAAACTACATTTTGAATGTTATAGCTTCACATACCTTCTTCTCTGGTGATGTTGGGCTTGTACCAGTACTTTGAGGTGTCTTTCACAAATCTGGCAGTGTTATTTACCATGTCAACATCTGAAAGTCAAACCACCATGCATTACTCCAAACAAAGTAGACTGCACTAATAAAAGGAGTACAATATATCTTAAGACCGTATTCTACATGAGTGAATCAATAGATACAAGGTGAATATGTCATGACATCCTTGAATCTGTTCCTTCACTACAAACAATTTATAATGTCAACAATGGTCAAACCAAGGGGCTGGCAATTCAGGTACAATAACAAGGATTTAGACCTTTTGAAGTTAGTTGTTATGAAGGAAATACATTGCTTTGTGAAGTTTGGGATATCCTCTGTACATACAAACAGTGAAATTGGTGCATGTCAGTGAGGGTGGCAGGGTTAATTACCGTATGTGCCAAATAAATCACTATCACATTCTCTGTATACCTAATAAACATATTTACTTGCATCAAAGTATGCCAAAAACCCAAAGGCCCAAGATATAACACAAGTCTGATGTTGCACCTTTTACATCATTTAAATACGTTGACAGATGTTTTCCTGTACACTAAAATCCTAGCATGTAATTATGTGTAAGTGATGCATGCATTGTGTTACCTGCGAGAGAGGACAGACTGCCTCGCCGTGACATGCCGAAGTACACGCTGGGGGAGCTTTGTCCGGTCATGGAGTGGGGGCCTGGGGAGAGGGCGCCAGTAGACATGTTGTGCGCGGCACTCAGCTGCTGACGCAGGGTGTTGAGGCTGCTGTTGGGGGAAGGGGGGCTGAAACAACACGAGGGGACAGGTCAACATCATTCACAGCAATCTCCATGGGTATTGTCTAGCTTCTTCATTCAAACAATGAATGTCATTAATGTGATATAAAAAAGTGACTACATTCTTGACCCGTATCTCATACTAGATTTATGGCCAGTTTATTTTGGTAACATTGTTATAACCCGAAAGATTCAATGGTAAAATTATTTTTTTAAATTGGACAGGCAATTTTCGTATTTATCTATGATTTAATAACATATATCCTAATTACTATTGGTAAATATAAAATGATAGCTATATATTTCTTACCTCCCAGCTGAAGAGGGGCTACGAGGGGAGATAAGCATGTGTGGACTGGTATCAATCTTCAGAGTCCCATCACTGTTGTTTGTGAACTGTTGGTGTTGCTGATACTGCTGAGTTTGCACATTTTGAAAATGCTGCTGTTGAACCTGTTGTTGTTGTTGCTGCTGCTGGAACTGTTGCTGCTGTTGTTGCAACTGTTGCTGCTGCTGTTGTTGCTGATGTTGCTGGGTCATTGTATGCTGCATCTGCTGATGGCTCAAAGTTCCAGTTGGGCTGACAAGGCCACCTGATCCCACCAAGAGGACATAACTCATTAGTTGGAACTAACAACTTTCAAGCATGTTCAATATACATAAATATAAGCATCTGAACACTAGAATAATTCATAACATTTCTATTCAACAAAGGTCCATCACCCATAGAAAGATTTGAAACAAATTCCTTCAGTGTTAGTGAATACTGGTCAAAGTTAGTATGTGCAAATAACCCAATATTTCAAACATAATTTACAATCAGCCACATATTTCAACTCTTCATTAGACATGTGGAAACTATATTTCAAAATATATACCAGTAAACAAACTGTAACTATTACCTTAACACTTAGTTTCCAATGCATCAAAGCTTGTGACAAAACACTACAAAAGTACTCTACTGAAGCCAAGCGTGGAGTAACATTCACCATGAATCACATCAGCTTACTTCACTACATAATTCTGCCAGTCTTTGAATATGATACTTTACTGCATGACACTTCTCCCTTGCATGTAGAAGATTTACAACATGCACACATCAGTCATTGCTTGAGGCAGTGGCTAGAGGCTAGTCGTTTCACAACTAGCTTGACACACATAAACTTTTCATGACTCATGCCGCACATCTCCAACAATGACAGATTGTGCATAGGATTTTACCACATTTACAGAACTTTCTGGTATTTGACAACTAGAGGACACAAATAATTTGACACAACTGCTGTAACTATCTGATCATCTTTCTTGGTATGTCAGAAGGTTACTCTAAAACAGTTCTCCCTTATTTCAGTATTTGATGATCTCTGCATGCAAACCATCTCAACATCTCATTTAAAATTGATCTTATTGGTGGTTTGTTATATACTCATTAAAGTGCCTAAACTCCAAAAAGTTTTGGAAATGCAGAAATAATTGGTAACCCCACAAATCTACCAAGTCTACCTGCAAAGTCCCCTAGTGCTGCATCTTCTGGGATAGAAGCGTACATTGGGTCAGAACTGCGAAACACCGGAGCCCGTGCTCCGTGCCGCATGTGAGTGACCTCTCTGTCGGACATGCCAGCAGTCGGGGTGACGGGGGAGACTACCCCTGGGGTCGGGGGGGCTGAGAGAGAGAGGCAGGAGAGAGGCAAGATGCAGTTAAATCCGCACAAGCAAAAAAAACTACATGCAAAATTGATGAAAACTACAAGTTTAGTCTACACTGGACACTTCACAGCATTGAGGCACTTTCACAATGCCATCAGGTGGCTTATTTTGTCCTTGCTTGGAGACATATGGACTGATGGGTCACCTTTTGTCTGAACAACAGTGAGTTATTCATTGCGCCAAACCAAAATGTTGTTGCTAACAGAAGGAGATTTTCACCAACATGACCTGTGAAGTGTCCACAACATTTCATTATGCACAAAAGCCAGTAATCTACTTACATATACTTTACAATGATATAAAAGTTCAAATAATCACATGATCAAGTGATAAAATCTGGTTCAACACATACCGAACTCATGATCCAATTTCAACATAAATATATTTACATGATTATTCCTTTCATGAACCATACTGTCAACAGGTTCAAAGCTGAAGAATTCTTTTTGAACACAACCAAATAATAAAAATGTTAAATGTTAACACAATGTTGATTAGTGGAGTTTTCAGTATCAGTACTGAATAAAAAGATTTCAGATAACTAATATAAAACAGCAATTTTTTTTACAATATTAGCAACAACGAAGCGCCTGCTGTTATTTGATGAATAAGGTTGATAAGTTTTGTTCATAATTATCATGAGTGGTCATTAGCAAAAACATAAGGATGTTTGTATTAGTTATGCATGTTTCAGCAATCAGAATGGTCAGTAAAGAATATGTAACATGGCTTTTATGCATCTGAAACAAAATAATATTAGGTGATATTAGGTGTGAATTAATCGTGCACCAGGAACCTTTATTGTTGGTTTCCAAATATCAGTATGAAATTGTATATTCCTTCAGGCCAACTATTCAAATAATCATCTACTGCAACAAAACATAATACTTTTCAGCATCTTAATATCAACTGTAACATTCATTTTTTTTCTAGGCAAGAAAGAAACTAATAAACCCCAAAAGAACAATAGGTGAAAACATTCAAAATGCAGAGCATTTTTTCAGAAGAATACAGAAAGAAAACTTAGAAAATGGAAGACCAACACAAAAGAGAGACCAGCACCAGTGAGAACTATAAGTGAACTAAACAAGGCCACTCAATCCCAGCATGCAGGTCAAAGTTACACAGACTGCAAATGACGAACGCTTGCCACATGACAGGATGACAAAAATATTTCTCAACGACAGTGGGATATTACACATGCATATTTTCCATGTGGCAAATGTTAGATACTAGTATTCAGTGTTCACAATCACCATGCCACAAGCCTAATTAGTGGTAAAGTCAGGACAAAGTGCACGGTCAAAAATTCAGCTTTGTTAGGTTTTACCTGAATTTGAATAAGGAGTCCTTGGTGAAACTGGGAATGGAGGGGTAACTAGAAACAAGCAAAACACAAATTGTAACATGCAGTTAACTAAATCTAGATGGATTCTCACAAATCGAGCACAAATCATGTTATGGTCTCAAAATCAGCTTCCACATTCGGGTTGCTAGGATACGTAATCCACTGTGTGTGACTGTTAGTGGCTGCAGTCTCGGAAACATTGCCTTTGTCATGGTCAACCGTCATGCTCGATGCTTCCGAAGCAGAATTTATTCCTTGCAATAACACATGCATACATGCTTGACACCAATGAAAAGGACTCATGCTTTGAAAACAACTAATCATATATACACCAAAAACCAACACAAACCAGGAACTAATGACATTATGTAGTCCCATAATTAATGATGACTATGTACATACTGTAATACTAGTTTAGTCATTCCACAGTGTGTTGTTCAAGGCAAACAAAGACAATATATTTCAGCTTTCAAAACGGGGAATATGTAATAACTAACAGATGAGTTAACATATTTAATGATTCTTATTTTGTTAATTTATTTTGGAGGATGGGGTGCCTTGAAATACACTAATCAACTACCACAAATCAAAATATTCATTCTCATTAGTTTGATTTTGCATGTTGGAGGATGTTTTTCTCTGATATTTCAGATATAAAACACATTTCCACACACCAAGCAAACCCTTGTTTCCAGTGGTAGCAAGTATACTACTCAACATTTGATAAGGATCACACCTTGGACTAAAGATGACAATTCTGGTCCATAGAAAATGTTGAGTAGTATATTACAAATAGACATTTCATGCCCTCCTCCATGTGGTAGTGCCAGCATGAAGCGGTGTATCGACTAACGTACCTGGCGATGTTGGAAAGCCGGGTGTGGTGGGGCGTCCCAGAGTTCCCATGTGGCTCTCTGGCTCCAGAGTCTGCACTCCTGGCCCTATGGGACGGAGCATGATCCGGTCCTCTTCCACCTCGCGGATCTGTTTTGGAGGTGGTCCTTGTTCCGGCCTCTGGATCTGGCTCTGGAAAAAGTAGCTTTAACACTGATAAATATGTTACATAATAACCTTTCATTCAAGTCAAATAAGTTTTCAGTCGATACCATATCAACTTTCATAATTATCACATAGAAATTAAGCCAGTATTCTGACCAGGTTTCTTTGTAATATAATTTCATTTTCAATTTCCATAAAACCCATTTAATGATTTCCCATTTAACTATGTCTTTATGTTCATGAACTGCATAAGACACTGATGCATAGTCCAAGTATGCAAACTTTTAAGTTTCAGGCTGTTTCAAACTATTCAAGATCAATGCTAAGGATTTTAATTGTATTTCAGAAACAAATATGATACATATTTATACACATTGAACTATCTATATTCATTCTTATGAATCTGAGTAACTACCAAAAGCTTAAGCAGTTTAATGGTAAAAAGTTTATGGAAAGGTGTGCACAGGACACAAGTGTTTGGGGAGAAACTGATTTGACAGGATAGGGTGTATTCACGGAAAGCAGTCATGTGCAAGACTCCAAACATTACACTTAAATGATACAATATCCATAGATATACGACACAGATCCAAGCAATGAATAAACACTTAAATACTGGCTGTCGCTTACCACTTGAGTTACTTAACAGAGCTAACAGTAGTTACATCACTACCTGGAGGAAGTCTAGCAGAAGAACAGCTTCTTCAAACTTGGCTCTTGTTTCACTAATATCTTCAGTATTTGACAGATCAGACACATCTGTTGATAATCTATCATGAGATGTGTGACTATAGGGACCCAGACACTGTGTGGATGTGTCTGCAGACAGTTGACTGCCACATTCAGATGTACTGATTGGCATGAAATAGTGGGATGACTGATCGGCTATCTGGGACAATTCGGCAGACAACGGCCCAACAGACAATTCGGACAAACAGGTAGGATAATCAGGTTCATCGTCAGGCAGATGACAAGTCTGCATGTTTCGTGTCAAGGCTGTGTTGTCTGCAGACATCATCACTGGGTAAAGGTCAAATAAGTTGTTTGACATACAACCATACACATCAGCTGTGCAACCAGAAAACTGATGATCAAATACCAAATTTTCATCCTCATATCTGTCTGATTTGAAATTAGTGTGAGAATCTACAAACACCCCCTCAACAGAGAGGTCGGAAAACTCCTTCAGCAACACATTTGAAACAAAGTTGACAGGCATGTCAGCCATGTCTACAGAGTCTTGAGGACAATATGGACCATCAACAAGGAAGGTGTCAGACTCGGCAGTGGAAGCAGGAGATTGTCTACATTGTAATGCCTCACAAAGCATGTTAGCTGTGACAAAGTCCAACTCGACATCAGACACCATGCCTGTAGTTGCAGACATCAGACACTCATCTGGTGATACACACAGCGCAGTCAGCACTTCCACACCTTCCACAGAAGATTCGGAACTTGTGGCTTTCATCTTCTTCTTGTATATTGTATATCCTTTTCAGGAAATATTCTCAGAATCCATACTATTTCTCTGCATGGTATAAATGCCTCATCTGAACATCATCACATTCTCTACAATAGTTCCTGTACCACCGTCTACACTTATTCCACTGTATAAAGAGATTGTGCAATTTACATTCTTGTAATGGTGCCTAGAGAGCAAATATCAAATGTAATAGCTCATAATTTCTTCACATATGTGTGTCAGCATAATGAATGCATTTAATCTCTTAATCAGGATTTGCTACTCTTTTGCACATGGTAAGGTCAAATTTTTTACACAGAATAATACAACAAAATAAAACATAAAAACCATGTCTATCCCCATCTCCAGACTGTACTCAAGTCAGACATTGTAACACTACACCTAAGTGAACTACATTCTGTGCAGAATTTACCAACTTTAAACAGAAAAGGTAGTAGGTTAAGGTCATTAAAAATCAGCTTACCCCAATGCAGTTATATTTAAAACAGATGAAACTTTTCCTTATTTTCAACAAGTGTCTCATTGTTTAAACCGCCCTGACCTGAAACTCTCAGCCAGACTTCAATATCTAAACATTTCCACCAAAACAATTCCAGCTATATAAACAAGCCCAACTACAAGATCCAAAAGTAACACACCAAAATCTACATTACCAAGAAGAAATTGCCTACCTTTTTTCTCCTCAACACGCTATCATCTTGCCACTCACACCTTCTCTCTATTGGACCTGATATATTAATTTCACATTGCAAACCTTTCCCCCAAATTGTGACCCTGTATGACCTAGATCCTATTCATGGCCAAGCCACATTGCCATTTGTAAACTGGTATCATAAATACAGACCCGGTTGGTAATTACCTTGCTATTATACCATGGGAAGTGCAAACTTGGCATGGTTGTATACACTATAACTGACTCACACAGAATGGAAAACAAAATAGCTAAATAATGGTCAGTTTACCATTTACCGCTGACTTCACACAAGTTGGGATGATAACAGCTGCAACATTATTGAAATTGTCAAGATGGGAATTGCTCATGAGGGTGTATAATGTATACCTAAACTATCCAAGGAAAATCTCAACATAGAATTGAATCAAGTGCAACTGTCAACAATGGTTCTAATCAGACATAACATACATTGTTTAGTTAAAAACACCATGTCAAAATATTACCTGGAATAAAAAAGTACAAGACTGAGACTGACACAACCTTCCCCGGAAATATACAGTACAAGTCTGATCTGCTCTTTGACCAAATAGCTGATGGCCTGAAACCTGTCAATGACTACTTCAACCATCAACAGAACTTGTTGTACTAATATAAGAACTTACAGACATTTGCTACAACAATGCATGAAAACATTTATTGAAGTGAGCCATGAAAATTGTGTGTTTGATTAAAGGTTGTTTTCCAGGTCAGAAACAGCTGCCTGGTTCTCATTCCCCTGATCCTGGGAAGACAAACAGGAGTCTGCCCAGTTACTGCAGACCCAAGCCAAGCTGAGACCACGGACCACGGCACCACTATCTAGTCACACATGGTGAAAAGGTGACACTTCGGCCTTCTTCTTCTTATGATTTGGTTTACATAGTCATAGTTTCGGTGCTCAGAATAAATTTTCTTAACAAACTTAATAAATTATCTTTTTGAAAACTGATCCCTCAAAAAGTAATGTTGATTTGTTAAAAGTAAAAATGAATTAACAAAAAGAAACATGTCTTTTCAAAGACATGTCAAAGGGTTCCAGCCTTCCCTCTGATCCAATTTTTGTAATAATTGAAATGAAAGAACTGACTCGGTAAGAAAAATAGAGAGACTGTTCTCAAAATGTTTGGATAACATGCCAAAGTTGTGATGATTTAGGTGTGCTGATCCATACAGCAAACAATGGAAAATACCTCACTTTCATTAAGACCCTATTTTCAGAATGCCATGACAGATGCGATGTGTCCATAGCATCAATGAAATCATTATTCAGAAAGACCAAAAAGATGTAATGATAAATGAGCACAGCTTTGAGAATAGTGTGATTTATCCACATTCACTTATCAATGGTTGAAAAAATGCTCCACGTATGATCTAAATAAGCTCATTTGAGAGTCTTGCACAATCCAAAGTATCACTCACAGCAAACAGATATGTCAGTATACTGATTGATTTCATAAAACACAGACCATGACCAATCAACATGCACGTTGACAAATAGCAATTTGCATCAATCAGATTAAATGGCGATAGTCCATGCTAGTTAGGCAACTGTGTTTAAAGACTTTACAGTTATTGTTATATTATTTTAATGAGCACATTGATCATGGGGAATATTCAAACAGAGTAATTCACAAATCATTCCTGTCAGTAATCTTTTGTCATTCAACCAACTATCACTGCTGGGACATGCCATATAATGATAAAAGTGTTCACAAGCATACAATATATTAACTGTTCCGAGGTAAATATTTCACACCCTCATGCAATATAGATGACAAATACAGTTATGTCAATGAATACAATTCAGAAAGAATAAGTTTGCCAGAACAAACATGCTGAATTGGTCAGTCTGAGGACTTAATTAGAGTATATTTAGGCGTGACAACATCTAACATTGGGGAATTTGAGTGGAAAGTATTACGACAATTTAGTACGTACCTTACAGTAACAGGACAAACCATTTGACTCCATTACTTTCAACACAATACTGTATAAAATGTTTCATTATTTCATTAGTTTTAACAGTTATATAGTATTCTCAATGGATGGATCAATCGTAAGAAAAAACAACTCTGTTGTACTGAATGAAATCTCATATTTGCTCGGAAGAAACTTCTGCCAGGACAGAGACAGAAGGCACAAGCATTTCAGCTGCTAAATATTACAATGGCTAAATGCATTGGGCACTCACAATTTGAATCAGGTAGCATCTTTCAAATTTAGACACGGCCAAAAGAAAGAAGATTTCTAAAAAAACTGTGACCAGCTTCAATATTACAGTATTGACATTATTATTGTCAATAATTGAAAACTGAAAAAATATAATCCTATCTTTTCCAGCTGAAATGCTTCTGCGAGATGGGAAAGATGGGTTATACACAATACATACATAGATATTAACATTATCCCAGACAGGGGATGCACTCCGGGGCAGCATGCTGCGGGACGTCGTGGTGTTGCTGGTGTAGCTGCTCTGATTACTCACGCTGCTGTGGGATTCCACCTGTCGCGTCTCATGCCGTAAAAATACCTCTTCCTGTTTCTGCTGTGAGAACTGCTGTGGCACCGATGCCTTGATGGACTCTTCAGCGGCCATGAGGGACCGTTCCAGTTCCTCCAGGCGGGTTGCTGTACTGATGCCATCAGTCTTGTCCTTGGATACTTTCTCTTGTGTCTGGCTAACTGCACCTAGAAATCACAGGAAGACCATGCAGATGTGCGAGTCCTAGAAAATGGTCGTATACACACACAGACCTATTTTGTTTTTATTCTTAATCCCATTTATACGTAAAATAAATACTGTCAAGTAATGATGAACATGTTGGGAGTGTGAAATCTGTAATATATCTAATGAAAGTGTAAACAAATATCATATAATTAACGTAGATTAATGTAGATCAATATGAAAACTTGATTTATTATAATAATCAAGTAGGAATTGATTCAACATGCATGATAGATCCTTACAAGTTTTTAGAAGCCATTCAAGCTGACAGGTCTACTTAACAACATGAAATATAACCAGAAATTTAATCACAAAAAGGTTTCATTTTCTACCAATATATTATAAAATCGCACACATCACTCACTGAGAAATAGTTATTAGTTAATACCCAGTTTCTATGTGATAGTTTCACGATCTAGAAGATTGCTAGAGAGAACTACCTGTGCATGCAGAAAAACTATTCTACTGATTGAGGACACTTTCAAAACCACTGCCAAGACTGACTTGTCTCCCTTCTTATAGGTTATCTCCCTTTACGCTTATCATTTTTTCCTATGATCATCTAAAAGTTCTCAAAAACTTCTGAAAACATTTCCACTGCATAAAACCATATAATAATATGAACCAAAAACATAATGAATCAATGAAATTGCATTAGATAAAAATGATTAATGATGTCTGATGCACCAGTAAAATCATGACTGTAGACATATGAACATAAAAGATGTTGTACATCACAAAGATTAGACTATTTAACAACAACCACATGTATTCAATTATTGAAAGGTTTACAGATATGCTTTTCTTTTGTTTTTAAAATACAAGAACAAGGATAATAATTTTGAAAAGTATTATGACGTTTCCTCTGGATTGGTAAATATCACTTTAAAACAAGAAATCTTCAACTTCAGATCACTTGCATTCAAGTCAGCAAATTACTTTAAAAGTTCTGTACAACAACTTCATAATGTCAAGTGATCATGATTATGCAACAATAAAATTCTGTGATTATTGTCATGACTACTTACTTGGTCCCCGATGGACAAAGACTTCCGTTACATAATGTTGTTGTGTTTGAGGTGCCACAGGCTCTGGCGCCATCTGAACTGGAGGCTGCTGCTGCCGGGTCATACTGTCATCATCCTGGTGTATGTGCTTGATGGTGCGGTATGTCGTGAAGGATGCCTGCTGAAGACCCTGCTCTTCTGGTGACAGTGCTCTTGGTGAATGACTGGCACTGTATGAACGAGGGATTGATTGAGGTGCAAAGTCCCGGTCATAGAGTGTCTCTGACGCCTGACGTTGAAGAGGACGCTGCTGTTGGGGTTGCCAGCTGCTGCTACTGTTGGATCGAGATCGCATAAACTCCTTGCTACTGGTTCGAACTGGAGGGGTCACAGGGGGTGCTGAAATCATAGACCTCTGAAGCGTTGGGGAGGGGGGTGGTTTGTTAGATACGCTACGGTTGTAAGACTGTCGTGATTCTGAGTAAGCCTGAGAGTATGTGTTGAAATGGTTGTCTGTTGGTGACATCTGCTGACGCATATTGTATGGTTGAGTGTCATTTGACCAGAAACCATCGTGGCTCTGACTTCGCTGAGGGGGGTTGTACGATTGGACATTTGTAGGTGAAACTGGCCCATTTGCTACAGGTGTTTTGTAAGTTTCCATCACAGCTTGTTCCTCCGCTTCATTCTGTGTGCGTCGTGTATAGTATTTGTTCTGGGCAGAACGCAGCTCGGACACAAGTTGCCTCTCTTGAGGAGACCGAACTTCTTTCTTTGCCCTGAGCTTCTCTTGCTGCTGCTGCAACCATGATGCATTATCAACCTCTCGCTGCTGCAAACTGGAACCATCTAACGTGTGATAGGAATATTCATTGTATTTATTTTCATAATCAGTCCTGTATGGCAGAGTATGAACACGTCCAGGAGGACTTTGCATTCTGGGCATATTTTCCGCATTTCGGATTAGTTCTTTTTCTAAAGGTTGCACAGTTTTCCCCTCAATTGTTGGGGAGGTAGCAGTGTATGAAAATGCATTTTTAGGAACCCCAGGTTTGCGAAGGTCCTGTTCACCGCCAGCTGTGATCGTGTAATGGTGTTTTTCTTCCTTGGCTCCAGGAACTTTGTACGTCACTTCCGCTCTCTGAATAGAAACATTCTGATTTGGACTTCGCTGATTAGAGTCTATCGTGTTATATGTAGTGAATGTTCGTGTTGTTGTGGTAATGGTTGAAGCACTGGCATCTTTCGGACTTGTTGGACTGGAGGATACAAATACCTGATCCTGTAACAGGTCACTTAATAGTTCATCTAGCTGTGTACGCTCATCTAATGCTTTCACTGTTTGTTTGGGCATTGTGCTTGATCCGTAATTTGTCTTAGAAGATTGGACACTAGACCTGTAACTTGGTGAAATCACTTCGTTCACATTCGAGTTGTACTGCGAATGGCTTTGGTGGCTTTGACTGACAGTTGTAGCTGGAATACAATTATCAGGATCATAAGCAAAGTGGAAATTAAACTTCAGAGCTGATTAAAATGCCCATATTTGCAGTGATACATGCTGATTTCATTATCAGTGGACCCACAAAATCATGAAACTCTTATTTAATAGCACACAACGATTTTCCAGCCATAGACATATCTTTTGAGCCTGATCTCTCGCAGAAAATGACAAAACCAGTCCGAAAAAGAGCCATATGATATCCAACACACATGGTTGAAGTCAAAATATGTTATATTCACGATATGTTTTTTTATGCAAAAAATTACATGGGCAGTCACTTTTCTCTGCAAGGAATGCTGGAATCTACAATAAGACTATGTTTGTTCTCTTCTGGGCAAAACCATGATCACATGTATGCAGATGAACTATTCCAGCAATAATTGCTTTGTTAAGTACCCCATGCATTCAATATGGGTCACAAAGAGAAGTCCTTTCAAGGCTGATATCACATCCATCTATCCATCCTCCATCACATGTATACATTACATACATACACATATATACTGCTGTTTCTGTTATCAATTAGTTACATCACACATACAAGCCCTGAACACAAAAACAAGGTCAGACACCTCTTCAACAATCTGGATGACACAGTTAGTTACGCAGCTATATGGGCGGTACTTCACAAAAAACAAACAGTAAGCACAGACAAGTCTACGATGTGCTACCTGGACCATTATCTGACACAGGGCTGGGTAACACTGTATTGATCATGGTAGAGTTTCCAGATCTGCAATTATCTTGAATTATTACCATAACATATTCATGTCGTCCTAAACTGAGATAAAAACAGAAATTCCTGGGAAAACATTTTCCTGTAAGTATGATGACCGGATGAGCAGGTGTAGAAGATATAAACAAATTTGAATGAAAGCTGCCTCTTAACTACTTTGACAGGAAAAAAGAATTATGAGAGCTTGGCACTGGCATCGTAAGATTAAGGCAAAAGTAGCAGGGGCTAAAAGCAGAACATAATGAATGCTTAATACTTTGCAGATTAAAAGCGCCAAAATTAATTGTAAGAACATAACAGCATTTTCACATATAACAAATAAGTGCAAATTAAAATTGTAAGAAATATAATGTACAAGGACATGCTGCAATTAAGATTGTATCCATTTAAAAAATATTTCCACAAAAATTACAATTATTACTGTTATATATTACAAGTACTTGTATTTTGACAAACAGAAACCTTTTTCTTATAGACATCAATTAAACCTTTTGTTTAAAGTGTGAAACAAATTAAGATTACTAATAGCTACTTGTAAATTAGTAAAATGTTACTAGAATCTACCATGAACACAAGAGTATCCATGACAGTAACTTAATTGCAAGGCGATGTATGTTTGTTCATGCAACATGTCCTTTCTTTGACACATAAGTGCAAATTAATGTTGTAAGAAACCATATAAGACATGCAGTCACCATGGAGATCAGAGGATGTGGAAATACCAGAGTCGAGGCTGGAGGTCAGGGAACCATTTTGCATGGGTCCATTATGAAGCACGGATGATGAGGTGGATTGGTTCTCGATTCGTTTCTTGTTTACCGTGGCATACAAACTTCCATCTATTGGGCCCTGCTCGTGCTCGACCTTTGACACACGAACTTTGCTTATTCCTTCGGGTGGTATTCCGTTTTCATTAATATCAGCTGAAAGGATTAAACACCATGCGGTTATGGATTTTGGAAATTTTGAATTCTGTAAACAGAAATTGATTGACATTCATATTCCTGTTGACAGAAACTTGACCAAATTTGAAATTAGTGTAAGAAACGAATTCATGGCTGTTAAGTATATGGTCAAATGTCCAAATATGAAACAACAGTTGAACTTTTTCAGGGGTCAGAGCATGCTTGTTGGAACATATAAAATCCTTAAGTTGCAATGAACATTTGTTAGGCCTAACAAGCCAACAAAGCAAAAAGCCTTATCTAGGCTACAAAAGCTACCAGTTAATGATCAAATGCAATTTAGATGAACACAAACAACATTAATATTCAAATTTACATGAATATTAATAGAATGATTGGACCAGTCAAGTGACAGCAGCATATATGATGTTGCACGATCATCAAAAAGCTCTTGAAGGTCTTGAAGGTCTTACATGAGATGATGGGACAGATTTTGAATGATGGCGTGTTAACAATGTGATGGTGCAGATTGATTGCTGAAGCAAAACAGATTTGGTCCATGCTAAAGTTTGGTCCGGTCTTCCCAAAGTAATGTGCAAATGTCACCAACCCACCAAGACCGTATGAAGGTGAAATTTGAAATAATAAGTTGTTAGGAGAACTATATAAATCTGTGCTGGTGCAATGATTGGAACAGTAAACTCATCTCTGTCAGCTTTTAAACCATCTGTTAAAGATAACTCCACTTATTAAACATCCCACAGTACTTCCTGCACCATCCCTTCTGAAGACATTAACTCCCCTGTCACAGCATTTACTCAATATGATTGGAAGCATCTGACAGAGATGAAGTTTCAAATACCAATCATTGCATCACTACAACTTCTTAAAATAAAACTCCTCTACAGAGAACTACATACTGTCATCGATGACCTTCCGGAAGTTCTCGTAGCTGTCCGAACGGATTAGGTTGTCTTCTCCGTCGTCCACTGGTACTGTCACATCAGATTTAAACCCTGAGACTGAATTCAAGGAAATCATTCAGGTTTATTATCAATATCTAAAACAACAGAAGCAGTCAATAATACATGCCTGTATGATAACTGAACAAGGGGACAATAACAAACAATCAGTTTGGTGTAAATAGGGACTGTAGACAAGAACTGACAACAGTGCCTCACTATAACTGAAGACAAGTGTTGTCAATAATGCCTCACTACTGTGGTAGACAAGAGTTGTCGACAGATACCTTAACTCCATCACTTCTGCTGACATTTGAGCTCTGATTATCTAGGGTGTACGATGTGACATTAGAGTTATGGTTGTTAATCTCTCTAAATAAGGTCACTTTGTCAGTATTTACTCATTATAATAATTACTTACTTAAACTTCCAAATATAGACAATCAAGAACCACATACACAAAATTGCACCCACCAGGACAAAATGTTGCATCCCAAATGCAACCAACCAATATCTTGCCGGGATAAATCATTTTAATGTCAAAACTCCAGATGAGCTACCAGAAGCCCAATTAAATATTCAAGAATGAGTGCACTGAGTGAGTTGGGTTTAACAGTATTTAGTCATATTATGGTACGTCAGCTTGATGCAGGAGGAAAGCAGTAATGCAGGTCCAAGATGTTTACCACTTTGGAAACATCAGTGGGCATATGTATGTGCTGATGAACCTAGAAACATAATCAGGGCGACTTGGGGATTCTAAGTTATCTAACCCATGATCCTAGGGTTCTGGCATGTCTGAGGGTTGCATCTCTGCACAGCAAATAAAGTTGCCTGGACATTGGACCAGACATCCGCCAATAATAGCATGGTCTGTATTCAATAAAGTCATCTCTCAATTGTCCTTGACATATGCTTTGAGTCCTTGAGTCCAAGTGATTTCTTTAAATTGAGTTAATATTTAATGCCAAGAGTGAATAATTTTGTTCATTACACAAGATTGAAGTATTTCTATGACATATAAGATCCACACGTCAGGGTAATAACAAATACAAAAGATAGAACCAAATGGGTTTGTAGCTCACTAACGTACAGTCGGGTGAGCTAAAAACATAAATAGTCAACTACATGTATTCTTAAACTATCTCATCAGATGAGCTATCAAATTCTGTAATGAAACCCTAATGTTTTGGAGCCCCCATAGACCTCCCCATGATTGTCATCTTCCATACTTCCTCTAATCATATCACATTTCTCACATCCATTTGTCTGTGCCACCACAAGACTATTGTACCCCTTTGTATAGGACCTCAAATCCAGAAACATGTTCCAACCGTTCCAATTTCACTTTCAGCTGAACATTCAGTTACATACTGTTTAAACAGTTGCAGATCAAAACTGCCAAACTCCTTGCACTGGAGACATGTGTTTGTCTTCATGGATGCCTGCCATGAAAGAAGCTACGCATAGTTGGACAGCCAGGCAGTAGGTAAGACTTCAGCAGCCTGGAATCTGTGGACTCCTGAGGCAGACTTGTCTTATCTACCTCCCTGCTGGGGGCCTCTACACCTCTCCCCAACCAGTCAACACTTCCTGTTTGTTCTCACTAGTGCTCATTGCTTCCATGAAGGTGCGTAATATCTCAGTCTGGCTGGTTAATTAAGGGAAGTAAATGAGCTTATTCAGTCAGGCCAAGCAAGAGCCAGACATCACTTGGAATACAATGGCCCTACTGCATGTACTTGAACTTCAATAGGGTCTTCAATCAGTCATTCCAATTTTCCAATTCATAAAATGTTCTTCTACTCCACCAATGAAACATCTAAGACTTCTTACCAGTAGAACTACAATCAATATTAGTGATTCACCATCCCCATTTTCACAGATCAAAATGTATAACAATGAACAGCCCTGTATAAATTGCATGATGCCATTCAACTTTCAAGGTTAAATTACAAAATGATGTAACTATGGAAACTGTCTGAGCTTGGTCCAACTGTAGAAGTGTGGGCTTGGTTAACCTTGATCTATTACACGTGGTCACAGGCCATATCAGCTTTCAACAGCATGGGTGGTTCTGATATCTATATGTGGGTCACATTTATTACCTATATAAATTACACTGCTTGGCAAACATATATTTCCCCTTATTTCACAAATGTAGCAGCCTCTGGTTTGATATGGATCTCAGTCTAATGACAATAGTAGTATCTCAGTCTAATGATGCTAGTATATGTAAGACCACTTCTAGAATTTGACAAATTATTGGGGAATATTTTAGGAAAATGTTTTCAAGAAAAACCTTAATATATTTTCATCGGTAATGTTTGTACTTGGCAATTTCACCACTATGAACTGTAAACATAACCAAGAACACAGACTTTTGTTTGCTAATTGTTGCTGAATACTGTGATATGAACCATGTCATAAACAGTTGAGAGACTAACATTTAACCTCAGAAATCGATTTATCTTATTTAGAATTAAATATCTACAAAATATATAATATCCAAATGGAGACCAGAACAATGCTTCATTTCCTAGAGCTGAGGCAATCTAGATTTGCCAAATCATTCTGACTTGAACTGGATTCCTTTTGCAGTTTGTACTAAGGGCCTGGGAGACAGACTTAAACAGCTGACTCCATGCTGACAACTAAATGGTTTGCAGGGTTTGAATTGTGACTATGTTACCGACAACCAAGTGATGTGTTCCAAACATGGGCAACCACCTCCCAGGAAGTCTAAAACTGTTTGCTGCCAAACACTCAGCCTTAATAGCAGTCTACATAAACATACTTTATCATTTACTTGTAGATTTCATATGTTGATTTCATTCTGAGTGACAAGCCAAGTCCCTGACAAGATTCTGAACATTCCATCCCATACCTTATCATGTTTATTTCAGCTACGCTCGGCTGCAGTTTTTGTACTTCTAACTATGTCCTAATACTGTTGGCAGGACCACAATCAGTGCATACCACCACCCAGTGCATCTTTGCAAACCAATCTATTTACAAAAAAATGTGCTGCTAAAAATGGGACAGGCATCATCAAGGTTCACCTTCATTGTGAAGGTGAGTCAGCACTGAGAAAAGACTGCCACTAACAAACACTTGCAGATTTGGTTGCACAGTTTTATACACATATGCTAAGAGTCGGAAACGGTGGGATGTTACAGCAATGCTACTTCATGTTGATGTGCAATAATTAGTTTTTGCCCACTTCAACCCTTCCATGAAATGTATGTGTTATTGTTATTGGCAACTGTACAAGGGAATCAGTAAACAAGCCCTGTCAAACTGCTCTGAAATTTTAGTTGAGGTCATACATGAAACTTGTAATGATTTTTCAGTTTAGTTTTACTAGGTAGTATTAGTCCGGCTGTAGTCTTGGTTAAGACGTTTGGATGTTTAGCTAGCAAGACAAAACAGTAATAGTGTTCTTTGGCAACCACTACTAATGCTAAAATGTTGTTTATTACTGGAGCTCACAGTCTGTGTAATTAATTTGGGTCACTTTGACCTAGTGGAATCATTTGCTATTTGAGGTAGAACACAAGAAGGGAATACTGAAGTAGACCCAACTTGTATACATATTTAGATACTGGAATAGCCTTTCAAATATTTGTTTCCGGATCCAGTAAGATAAGATAAAATAGAATATATTTACTGCAAGAAACATTCAATCATGGAACAGAGGCAATTTTGTAGACATACACATGATCAATTGACACAAACATACCTGTAGAGAGTACTTACAGAAGAAGTAAAGGAAACAGAATACATACATACATACATACATACATACATACATACATACATACATACATACATACATACATACATACATACATACATACATACATACATACATTGAAATTGAAAACATGGTGACATATTATTTATGGTGTTGAAGTCATTATTTGCTATAATCAATATATGGCACAATAAGAACAAAGTCGTTGATTTAAAGGTACTGGAGGTCTGGAGTGTCTTCCTAATTCAATATTTAGTTTGAGGTCACTTTGGTGGAGTTTAGAAAGATGAACACAACATTTTCTGTGGCTGAGATCTGTTATCCAGTATGGACTCAAGATCTGTGTGTTGATCATTGTGCCTGCCGTCTTGCTGGACAAACCAGTTATACATTAAGAAGTAGAAGGACATAGAAGTTCTCCCCCTGCTGAACACACTAGTTATACATTATACAGTAGAAGGACATAGAAGTTCTTCCCTGCTGGACAGACTAGTTATACATTATACAACAGAAGGACATAGACGTTCTCCCCTGCTGGACAGACTAGATATACATTACACAGTAGAAGGATATAGAAGTTCTCCCCCACTGGAAACACTAGTTATACATTATACAGTAGAAGGACATAGAACTTCTCCCCCACTGGACTGACTAGATATACATTATACAGTAGAAGGACAAAGAAGTTCTCCCCTGCTGAACACACTAGTTATACATTATACAGTGGAAGGACATAGAAGTTCTCCCCCACTGGACACACTAGTTATACATTATACAGTAGAAGGACATAGAAGTTCTCCCCTGCTGAACACACTAGTTATACATTACACAGTAGAAGGACATAGAAGTTCTCCCCTGCTGAACACACTAGTTATACATTACACAGTAGAAGGACATAGAACTTCTCCCCCACTGGACTGACTAGATATACATTATACAGTAGAAGGACATAGAAGTTCTCCCCTGCTGAACACACTAGTTATACATTATACAGTGGAAGGACATAGAAGTTCTCCCCCACTGGACACACTAGTTATACATTATACAGTAGAAGGACATAGAAGTTCTCCCCTGCTGAACACACTAGTTATACATTACACAGTAGAAGGACATAGAAGTTCTCCCCTGCTGAACACACTAGTTATACATTACACAGTAGAAGGACATAGAAGTTCTCCCCTGCTGAACACACTAGTTATACATTACACAGTAGAAGGACATAGAAGTTCTCCCCTGCTGAACACACTAGTTATACATTACACAGTAGAAGGACATAGAACTTCTCCCCCACTGGACTGACTAG